ATAATTTACTTAGTAGCCTACATATATCAAAGTTTTTTTGTACGGTTAATGGTAACGAATATCATTCAAAAAATTGTAAACTTCATATTCCCATGTGATTCTTATGGAGAATATTTTAAACTGTTGTTTGCTTGTTTATGGACATATTTTAATCAAACTTGGCAATTTCTTTTTTATTTTATACTAAGCTAAGTGTAGTGGCACCACACTATTAATATTTTACTAAAAAACACACTTTATTAGTTTCCTTGTAGCATCAAACCTAAGTACTCAAACCTAATGTTATAGATTTGATTGAAAATCAATCTAGACAAATGGAAATTCGCTTAGTCGGCAGGGTTTTGCTTGGTTGGCGGGGGGAGGTTTTCTTGAAGAGTAGGCCTATTTTAATAATTAATTGTTACTCCCATTAATTAAGGTAGTTAAATTATTAATTTAACGTCACTCTTTACAATCCACAATTGAATTAACTGTGACTAGTAATAAATATTTTAATTAAATATATAGGCCCTATACATTTTTTTTTTTTTTTTTTGGTAGGAAGGTTTGAATGCATTTACGCACACCCTTGCTCCTGCAAGGGTAGTGTGGGACTAACAGAAACAGACTACCCACTAAACACACCTCCCCCCTCCCTCTAAGATGGCTGGGGAGGGCGGTCACAGCGTATCAGGATTTGGTCATGATTTTCCGCAGCCTTTTTCTGTGAACAAGAGAAATTTTACAAACAAATTCTTTCTTAAGCATTAAGAACAGTCAGTAATTGTTTACCTAGACTTTATCCTTTGCAATTTTTTCCTTTGAAACATAGCCTATAAAATTATTTTTTTATAAAGATAGAAGACCAGAAAATATTTGTGAAGCAAGAGGTAATAAAATGGGGTTTTCTTTTCTTTTAGGCATTGTACAAATGCAGTGGGCATCGTCAATATATACAACTTAGCCTAAGGAAAACCATGCAAACGAAACACTCAAAATAGGTCTGCCTCACTAATTGGAGATATAAACAATCAGGTCGCTAGGGCCTATTGTATTTCTTGAAGGAAATAATAATAAAGAAATTTGTCTATTGTCTATGTCACTTTTAAGCGTATTTCTAAGTAAAAGATAAAAGAGACATGTAGGGATAAAAGAGTGTCAGAAAAAGTAATATTGGGGTGAGGGGAGGGTATAAAAACGGAAAGTAAATAAAAGATACATCTAATAACGCTTATAACATAGGCTATATTTACACTTATACTGTTAACTCATAAGACGGTAGATATACTGTACATAAAAGATGGTACGGTAAGTGCCGATCCATCTTTTATGTATATTTACCATCTTGTGAGTTAACAGTTTAAGGGTAAATATATGTTTTAGGTGTTATTAAACGTAACTTTTATTTACTTTCCATAAATTTAATAACACGTACAAAGCTGATCAAGAAGTTATTTAGTATAACATCCAAAAAAATTACAAAATACAAGATCGGGTAAAGGGTGGGAGTAGCCAGGTAACAAGGTAGGTAAATAAATTAACGTTAGGTTAGATTATTGTTTATGTAAAAAATAACCTAGCCTACAACATAACACTACCTTATGTGGTCGTTATCACCTCTACGACAGAAGAGCACCTCTTTAATCTCAAATGCTTTTCCGAAGAAATTATTTAATCGTAATATATTCTTAGAAATTTGTTTTGAGTGACATATCTTCCTAGTAAAAAATTGCAGGTCTAGGCAAACAATTAACGAACAGTCATAAGGCATTCCCGCCAGGATTCTCCATATCCTTCTGTAAACAAGATAGAGGAATTTCACATATATACATAAATTTCTTAAGCATTAAGAACAATCAACTAAAATAAAGAATACATGCATAAACTAGGCTCTACCACCTAATTTGAAAACTCAGCTATGCGTAACATAGGCATACATTCTTATCTATCGTTTCAAACTTTGAAGCCGTGCACCGCACTTTGCCACCAGGCAGCTCGTGTACATCATCAAAGGTTTCCCTCGGATGATGGTCTCCCAAGTGCAGTCACAGCTCACGGCATACAATGCTTTCTCCCTGAATGAAAAAGCTAGCTATAGTGCATGCACCCTTAAACTGATTATCAAACTTATATTAGTTTTTTATTTTATTTTTATCAATTGAATTAGTTAAACTTAGGCCCTATTAAAATTGTGAATACAATACCCGGTAGCCCTGGCCACGAGGATAAATAAGGCAGAAACTTAAAATATGTGCTGTTTAAGACTCAGATATGAAAATTGAATATTTCATTGAATAATTTCCTAATCTATTTAATAATAAATTTACTAATCAAAATGAATTGATAATTTTTTAGACATTTAGAGCCTAACTTAGGCCTTCTCTTATAAATAGATAAGTTATTAATTTAACTATTTCAAAGGCAATAACTTAGGCTAGGGCCACACTTGGCGACTTAGTCGCGGCGACTTTTTTTCGCGCGACTTTGACGCGACGACAAAGTCGCTGGGGGTGGCCACAATAGGCGACAATTTTAACCTTTTAGTTTCCTTTTTACCATACCAGTAAAAATAAAGTTTCGAGATGTTATATTGTACTGTTAAAATCGTGTCATTGATTATGGAAATAAATAAGGATCTATGACTGTTTATGTATGTTTTTGGATGATCTTAGAATACATTGATGTTTTTTACTGTTATTTGCAGTATCATACAATTCAAGCGGATCTTACAAATTAAATCATATAGTTAAAGTATTTTCGTACGTGCACCGGTGCCACTTTATATTTCGTACTAGGTCACGTAATAGTTTTTAACCATTTACCAGCAACAAAGGAATACAATTTTTACTAAAGTGTTAAATTATGTTTTTAAAACCAATGTGGATGTCTAAATCGTCAGATCACTGTTTAATGCTTGATGTTGCTATCTCTTGTATATCTAAATACCCCAGCCGCAAAAAAAATGCAGACTAAGCGAATTTAAATTCGTTTGGCTAGATTTCCACTAAAATATTCACTTAAACTTGTCGGATTTATTTTCAATTTATATAAGATGAATTTAAATTAATGCTTAGGTTTGTTGGTACAGATAAGGTAACCTAATGAGGTGTGCTTGTTAATTAAAATTTTGATAGCTTAGTACGAAATTAACAATATTTATTAAAATATTGTTATAATTTATGAAAATATATCAATAAACAAGTAAACTAAAACAGTTTATTCTTCATCAAAATGGGCATTTTAAATTTACAATTGTTTAAATTATCTCCGTAACCGTTAGGTTTACAACAACGCTTCAATTAACAAAATCATTTTTTTAGCTCAACAAAACAGTTTGGAAGGAAATTGTGAAATTTATGTTTAGGGGTCAAAAATAAAAAGAACAATTTTATACCCCATTAAACTTAAAGCCCCTTAAACCTCCCATTCCCATGGTCCGATTATTTTGATTTGCGAGCACGTTTGAATTAACGTTGGTTTTAACATTTGTACCAAATTCCACTAAAATTTCATCATTTTTGCTCAAGTTATCGCGCTAATTGTTACATAGACCTATATGTATACACTGTATATGTAAATACATATTACGTATATATGAATTTGAACGGTGGGTGTTTTTGCCTCTGAGGACCTCAAAACGAAAAATCAAATCGGTCCCGGGTTTAGGTCTTACCATGCAACCTAAGGTAATAGTTTATTCCCTATAGCGAAAATTCGCCATAGGGAAGAGAAAACACAGGTATGGAGTGAATTCCCTAAAACTATCGTTTATGGATGGCGTATTTTAATTTTGTAAATTTTTAGTAATATTTTGGATGATCATAGCTTTGGCGAGCTATTGACATTGAAGACGACGCACAACATTTGAAAAATACACGAGGTTTTGGATTCCTGTTATACCAGAAGAGTTAAATCTCATATATTCTACAGCACACATGTTAACATGTCAACACTTATTTTGTCGATGACAATATTGGTATTTTGAAAGCATATTTACCATTCAACAAATCCAGTCCATAACTGTACAATACAGTATAGATATGAAAATAGAGCAGCAAAGGGTGTGTGAGCGAGCGACTTGTCGCCTAGTATGGCCGGTGCCATAAGATAACATGAGGAGCGTATTTGTCGCCGAGACCGAAAAACGCTCCCGGTCGCGTTTGTTTTTCTGTCGCCAGTGGTCGCTGGTCGCGAGTCGCTTAGTGTGGCCGCCTCCATTTAATTTAATGCAACGCACTTTCATTCCTTGACGCAGCGACTTTGTCGCCGCGACAAAGTCGCCAAGTGTGGCCCTAGCCTTAGACCTAAACTCAACTGAAAGGCCCAACTTACTTAAAATAAACCTAGACCTACCACTACAAAAACTGCAATCTAACAAATTCACACACAAACACAAACACAACTCAACCTAACCCTCTTTCTTGAGGAATCCGAAAAATATAGGTTAAGTGAACACTTAAAACTTAATAAATAATTCATGAACGTAAAACATTTAATTGTCAATACCTAATAACAAATCAGCTTCAGCACACTCACAGCACTTTAATTTTCATAATCATAAAACACCTTTTCAAGCAGCTCAAGTCAAAAGTAAATAAACAGTAAAGAATAAACACCTTTTCCTTTACAAAACCAAAACCACAATGCACAGTTTGCTTGCAACTGCTGCAACTGTTGAATGAAACAACTATCTAATCAGGACCAATACAGAGTTACAGTGAAGCTATTACACAAATAGCTGTTATCCCAGGAACTGTTCCAAGGACTACTGTGCATGTGGAAGTGGAGGTGCTCGTGGGTACAGAACGTCGAGTGTCATCACTATCCCCTAGTTTTAGTTTTGTCCTTGTCGTCTGGTAAAAGTAAAAATAAAACAAATACAAAACAACAAAACCTGTTGACTGAAATTAAGTTAACCTTGTCCTTGTCATGTGGGTTGAATTTCTAGGCGTGCGGTTATAATTTCTTGATTTCTTGTAGAGTTGAAGTAATTGTTGAAGTAATTCTACATTCAACTAATTTGATAGTTCACATATTTGTTGTTTCATTATAGTTTGTTCTTGTTGTTGAAAAATCTAAAAAATGATGTTTGTAAACAGTTTTACCAGTGTCAAGTGTCTAATGAAATTGCAGAGGAAAACTAAGATGTCTTTTATTTTTAAAAGAGTAAGTTAAGAAGAACTGTGTGTAGGCCTATGTGTTGTTGTTTTGTTTCAATAGGCGACTTAAGTTATTTAAAGCCAATCTTTATAAGGTTGGGTTACCTAACCTAGCATGTTGCTAGGCATGGCCTCAGTTACACTTTACAAGTGCAGAATAAACATTTTCCTTTTCTTGACTAAGTTAAATGATCATTGAAAATATGTCATGCGTCAATATGGTGCAGTATTAAATAAAAAAATTGGTACTTTCCTGTTAAAGGGAACATTCATTATTATCGATGATTTTTTTCGATACATCGATATTTTTGTTTTCCGATCAGATTTATTACAAATTGACAACAACAACTAACTGGTCTTGTTTAGGCTAAAATAGTCTATATGGATTAAGAAATAAAACTGTCCTAAGCTAACCTTACATAACCAACCAAACTTGCTGTACCATTTAAAACTTCCGTTTGGGTTTGATAATAGAAAAGGCAAGTTAAACACGGTATTTTTAAATGTTACAGCAAGTTTGGTTAGTTATGTTAGGTTATTTTTTTAGAACAGTTTCATATACTGAATAATATTTATCGTAGTTGTCAGCTGATATGTTTCAATTTGTTAATATCGATATATCGAAAAAAATCATCGATAACAATGAATGTTCCCTTTAACAGGAAAGTACCAAAAAATTGTGTTTTTGTTGTAAATTTCCAAGTTTGCTTATAAATTGTAATGTTCTGAGTTCTGATATCATATTTCTCATAAAATCGAAAAACATCTATATAGTTTACAATGTAATATTGAATTTGACCTTGATTTAGTTTGATAAGGTTATTATAATATAGCCTTTTTAGGAACAAAACCTTATTGCAGTAAAACCTCAGTACTTAACACACCATTAACTTATGATCACTATTGTGGTTTAGCTGAAAAATATCATCTAAATTGTCTGTGAGTAGTGCTGCAACCTAGTAACGCATTGAACAAATTGCTGTAGTGCTATCTGTTAGCAATCGTTGGTGTCAGCTTAAATACCGGTTTTTACTCCTCTGTCTCCAAGCACAGGTAGCCGAGGTGACTAGGGTGTGTGTCACTTGGCAAGTGGCATTCGTTTGCTCAGGAACGAATCCTGTCCAGTGTGGCAAACAATTGGTGACCTGTGTGTTTGTAGCGATATAGGCTACTACAACCACTGGGACATAGTGAGGTGTTCATATTCTTGGTTTAAACATAGGCCTACACCTCGAATCATCGGATTGAGCGAATCTTTTTGCTGAGTGGTTGTTAGTGTATCCTATGAACATGCAGGTCACATGGCCGTTTTGCTACGTTTTGTTAAAATACCGTAACCTTAGAGTCTCTATATCCCTTAGAGATTTTAGTAAAAAACAATAACTTATATTGTTACATCTCTAAGGGTTAACCTTTAGGCAATTTTACTTGCTACTTAGTGAAAGTAAGAAGAATGAAAGGTATACAACCAGAAGAATCACCTAAGTTTTTATAATAGGTTTAACAAAATAGGACCAGGCCTAACTTATTTCTTTAGTTAGAAAGAATGGCCAAAGCTTCTACTTTTAGGCTTTTTATCAATAAACAATTTGTTGTCAGTTTTCATCTGGAATCCCAGTTTCACAAGATGTTGAGACAGTAGAAGCTTTACCTCACCTTACAGATGGGTTCGGTCGACAGCATACCTACCTGCGGATATCACTTACAGAGCGATGCAACCTTAGATGTGAGTCACACAAATTTCTGGGCACAGGTGGTTCTGCTTCAGAATTGACCAATGAAATTTACTGTAGGGTACAAAATTCAAAGTACTGTAGGACTATTACGTGTCAATTTATATAAGCCTAGGCCTATTAAAACTTGTTCAGCTAAGATGTCATTCTTAGTTCTCATTTCAGCGAGACAAACTTGCATAATGGTTTCATTATGGCCATAGATAGGCCAGATATGTTTACTTTGTTTTCAAATTAATTTGGCCCCACTGTAACTTCTAATTTATTAGGCTACCTCTTTGTAAATTCTTGATATTTATTTTACTAGCAATAAACATCAACGGCTCAGCCTGTAGTCCAGCCCACAAAGTATCTTTAAGGGTTTAAAAATGTATTTTCAACACAATTATGTTTCAGTTTCTTGAAGATAAAATGCAATGCTGCCATTGGTTTTAGTACACTGTAACTTTAAATTTAGGCCTACATAAGTTGCCTACTTCAGTTATAAGTTTACAATTAAACATAATGCTGTTCTAATGGTCAGGCCAGTACTGTATGCCTGAGGAAGGGGTCAACTTGACACCTCGCAATCACCTGTTGACGACAGAGGAAATTTTGCGTCTCGCAGCATTGTTCGTACGTCAAGGAGTCACTAAAATACGTCTCACAGGAGGCGAGCCTACCGTACATAAAGAAATCATCCATATCGTAGGTAGGTGTTTGTAAAATATTGTTGTTTCTACGAACAGAATGCAATTTTTCATAGTATCGTTTAATACCTAGCACAATTGTAATAATGTAATTTAGTTTTTAGAGAGAAAGATTATACCGTCCTCAGTACGGTAATCCTCTCACTTTATTCTGCGTTTTAAGTATTTAACACAATTATATTCTCTTAGCCTATCACAATAACCATAGATAAAACATACTCCCTTAGTAGATTTCTCATCCTTATGGAACAGCTGAAGACAATTTTATTGTTAGTTCATGTACGGTTTATGTAGAGGTCGTGTTTTGTTTACACAGGGTTGCCACCAGCCATGAAAACCTTGAAAAGCGTGAATTATGCGTGAATTTAGGTGACCATGAAAAAGTGCGTGAATTATGCGTGAATTTCGTCATTGGACCATGAATTCTCAAAATCATTATTAACAATTCAGCCAAAACCCCTAAATGTGCTGAATCAAATACTCCGTATTAAAAATTAAAACCATTCTCGAAATGAACACCGAGATAAAACGTCAAAGTGGGAGTGTCGAGATAAAAAGTTTTGTTGCCATGCCACGAACAGAAACGATTGCGTAGTTTATTCAAGGTCAAATCCGATCGTAACCGACGTCTGCCGAGTAGTCTAGAGATGGGAATTATCGTTGTTTTCCGGCAACGGTTATAACGATAACGCACTGCCCAATAACGTGTTGCGGCAACCTGTTATTTCAATAACGATTGCCAACTCGTTAACTCGTTGCCGCTATAAACCGTTGTCCGCCGGTCGGTGTTGCGACGTTCAGTTATCATTGTCGGTTGATCAGTTCAGTTTTCAGTTGTAGTCGGGAGTCGGGCGTTGCCGCGTTGTCCAGACAGGATGCGTTATACTAGTTCGTTTCAGAAGTTATCGTTGCTCTGGTAGCGTTACGGCAACGGCACTAATGGCAATGCATGTTTTCGTTTTCGTTGTCCGCGCGGCTTTCCTGCAACATTGTGTAGATAGATACGTTATTATAATAACAGGGAGTTCTCCGCAACGTGTTGCCGCGATAACGTTGCCGTGGCCGCAACACTGTTATTCATCCTGTTATGTTATAACGCCCATCTCTACCGAGTACCGATCTACCGATAAAATCTATGCTTTCGGAGCTAAAACATCGATCACATCGATGTTTGTTCCGAGTTTCTCGACTGTTCTCTGCACTGTAACAGCCAATTAACCTAAAACCAATACAATTCAGTTACGGAAAACATCAATATTTCATTACTTTTGTTGGCCTAAAAGACCGATGTAACAAATCAAATCATCGGTTCGGTAATCTACCATCGAAATAAACAAATAACTTCGAACATCGATAGAAAAGACATCGATGTTTCGAAAACATCGACAATCGGGATTGATGCTCGCTCTCATTCTCTACTCTAGTGTTCGTGTGGAGTGGAAGGAAATTCAGAGTAACCATAACCTAAAAGTTTTAAACTGATCTGAGTGATCTGAAACTTAGAAACGAGTCAAACGTTTGAAGTAGTGGTGGACACTGGACAGTAAGATCACTTGTTGCACTCGTGATTCCGTTTTGTGCTTCTTATAATTGATTACCCAACACTCAGTGGAACAAGTGTTCAAATTAAATATTTTTTATTACTGATATATTATACTTCCGATACTTTACAACGTTAAAATAAGAAGTACCTTGCCTTGCCATAAAGGTCAAAATGGCTTGCGCCGGCTGGAACTTAATCGTCTGCTGTGTTTGTTTTGGTCTAATATGTCGTCATTTCAAACTACTGTCAGTGTTTAGTTAATGTGTTACAACGTGAGATTAAGTTTATTTATTTAGGCCTAAGTTGCAAGAAGTCAATGTTGTGCTGAAAAATGGTGATTTCGTTCTGAGGAAGGTAAATGTAAATGTTTTGTTGAAGCATTAACTAGGTGTTTTCAGTCAATACGAATCTAACTAATGAGATGTAAATTTAATTAAATAATTGTTTTAACTGTGATTTAAACCTGTGTAGGCAAATAATAATATATAAGTTAAACTGATCCAATCTGAAGAAACATCCTCCTAACTAAGTTTATTTTAACCTTTTCTGTAATGTAATTAATTATTTTTGTATTACTTAATGTAAGTTAGCCTATGTCTAAACTTACATACATTCCATAACTTTTGTTTCGTTCTTAGCTTTAACTAAATATTTATTTACATAATCTTACCTTTTTAGAGTGTTATTATCAGTCAGTCGGTAACCTTTAATCTTCTCAATAAATAAAAGTTGGTTCAGGCCTAACTTAGCCTAGATTCAGCTTTGGATTACAATGTTGTAGGCTAGCCTACTGTGTTACTGTATAAAGTAATAAATTGCATGTGCGTTTTAGTAGGCCTAGATATGGCCCATTACTAAGATAACCGTTTCTTGATCATGTTCTTAACATTTGTTTTTATAGTAGCCTATTATCTTAATTTGATATTTAGACAGTAAAGTTGTAGGCCATTGCTGGATTAACTAAGTTAAACCTTTTATGTTTAGATGCAATGTTTTTTAGGTTAGGCCTAGACCTAACTACCAATCCGACTTATTTTTTTATTTATTATTTCTTCTAACGTTTGAATTTATCATTAGGCCTATGATGTTGTTAAATCAGATGTTTCAATTTTTTAAATAATTACATCGTATTATCACACACAAGATTTTTATTAATATCCTTTTTCATCTGTGATTTTACTTTTTTTAGACTGGATAAATTATATTAAATTCTTATTTTTAACTCTAAAATAAACGCATGAAATGTGTTTTATTTGATAGTAGCACACAAAACTATATATTGTCGATAAATTAATGTACAATTCTGAACTAGGCAACACTCTTTTATGGTGAAATTGTGCGAGCATATACCCCATGAATTTTTCAAAACTACCAATGAAAACCTTGAATTATGCATGAATTTTTTTATCTCACTTTGGTGGCAACCCTGTTACAATTTGCTTCCCGTTATTACAGCCATTTAAAACCTCGTTTAACCAAATAATACGATCTAATCATAAACAATAACTTGTCCCCTAGTTATATAACCAAACAGTAAAGCACAAACCAAGAAATTAACCCTAAAATAATGGAAACAAAGTTTCATCGACACTAGCGCCTTTGTGTCACGTACATGAACTAGACACGAAAAACGTGCCTCAAAATTTACAATGGGATGAGAAGTCTACTTGTGTTGGTTAGTCTATGCAATAACTTTTAGGCTTTTGCTTGACTATAGTAATTGTTTTGGTCTGTAGTTCATATTTGCTACACGGTTCATATTCAGTTTCTAGTACCGTTATGTCACATATTACCTTGCTAAACTGACAATGTCCCAGACAGCCTTCGCAAGTTGGACGGGCTGGAGACGCTGGCTATGACCACCAACGGGATGGTACTGACTCGTCAACTGGTGGCTCTGCATCGTGCAGGACTGGACCTGCTCAACATCAGTCTGGACACGTTACAACCTGAGCGCTTCTCACAGGTGACCAGACGCGCAGGTTGGCACAGAGTGATCGCTGGAATAGACCTGGCCGTGCAGCTGGGGTACACACCTAAAGTAAGTTTGTAGGTCTTCCAAAATTAACTAGCTTGTATTTAGTATGTAAGAAGCAGCAAACACTTTTAAGGGAAACATTCCAGACCCCTTTTTTGTATATGCTGAGTGAATTTACTGAATGATCTTTTAAAATTATTTGTATTGTAGGCCTGTCTTGTGTTCTTGTTATCATATTTAACATAATAGACTACAGTACAGAGGATTTTGTGTTGAAAGCTTTGTAAAGCACTGATAAATCATTTTAAGCTTTTAATGCAATACTACCGATACCTACTGAGATTCTCTGTTCTGTGAGCTCTGAAATTCACAAACAAATCGGTCTAATTCATATGCACATTAGAAAATGTTAAACTGTACTTTAGTTTGCACCACACGGTGTAATAATAGCGAATTGTACTATGTATCAAAAAAACATTTTGAGTTTGTCTAAATTGCTTAAAACATCATAGTAGTTTGGACTAGGGCTGTAGTTTTACACTGTTGGGATGAATTTGCCTGGAACTTTGTCTAAATGTGCATGTTGATTGTTTTAGTATCACCTATTTAAGACTGTTGTAGGATAAATAATGTTTTTTTTCAACTGCTTGGTAGGTCAAACCCTTAATAGGCCTAAGTCTCGGATGGTTTTTTTTTTGTCAGTCAAGTAGTGAATGTGATGTGTTTGACAGGTGAACGTGGTCGTGATGCGAGGTCTGAATGATGACGAAGTGGTCGACTTTGTCAGCTTCACTCGAGACAGACCTGTAGACGTGAGATTCATAGAGTACATGCCGTTCTCCGGCAACCGTTGGGACGACCAGAAGATGGTGCCTTTCCGAGAGATGTTGGAAACAATCAGAAAACACTTTCCCGACCTGCATCCACTCACCAACCAGCCCAATGACACTTCTAAGGTGAGCTGCGGCAAACTGAAATTACAGAGGTGCAATCGGAGGATGTTTCTAATTGTACACGGTTTTTGTACAAGGTGTCTACCAGTTCTAGCCAATAAAACCTGTGACTTTCAAGTTATATTTTTTCAATAAATAATAATTTTTACTGTTTTGAACTATTCTATACTTTTGACACTTATTGAAACCTTAAATGCTTTCAAAATAAATTTAGTGGCGTTTCAGTCTAACTTCCTAAGAAAATGTGTGATTTTCATGACTAAAGACACCCTGTAGTGACTATTATTAATTCACATTTTCCTCTATCGCCTTTATATGATCAGCCGAAGACAATATTATAAAGCTAGTTTTCTCCAGTTTATTTATGCAGGGGAGTATTTTTGTTTGCTATTATGTTTTAGTAATTTCACATTTTTGATAACAACTGAATAAAAAAATCAAATTATAAACAATATAGCTCTCCTCTAGTATTCCAAACAGCTAAGCTCAAATCATAAAACCTTACTCAAAATAAAAGTAAAAAAAAATTGTTGATGCTAACGCTCAACGTTACAGCATGAAAAAAATAAACTGCCTTCAAATTTTCTCATAAGAAGAGAAGTCTTTCCCCACTATTCAAAGTAAATGGTGTTATTCCTAGTTGTTGTTGAGAGATTTTAAATCGGAGTCTGCCATAGAAAAATAATCTTGATTTGGATTTTAATTTGTGAATTTTTATCATTTAAGAACATTTTATCTGTTTTTTATTAGCTTTTCTAATTTGTTTAATTAGAACCAAGCTGTTATCATATTAACAAGAAGATAACGTTGTGACGCTTAATGTCGAAGTATGTGTACATCAGTTATCAATTATTTGTAAATATTTTTTTGGGTTAATTTGTTGACGACTAATTTTTACTCAAAATTACCTCTTACAACTTACTTTGTTATCAATTATTTGTCAAGGTACACAAACACATATCAGTGATTGCAAACACATCTTCTATAAACTGTTGATAAAATTGAAGTGTACTTATAAATAGTTTCTTGCACAATGATTGTGAAATAAGTCTTGGTTTGTAGAATATGTAGGGCCATTGAAATGAATCTAGATCTGCTCCTTGAAGTGCCGAACAATTAAGTAATACAAGTACCTCGTAAATGTACATTGCTCATTCATAGTTTTAATCATAGAATTTTCGATACAGAAAATTCTTAATACTGTAAAACATTAAAAGCTCTTTACACAATATGCAGCAATATCCTCCACAGAAATACATTGAATTAATACAACAATAACAATTTATAGCATACAATATTCTAGTAATGTATACAAGAAAAATAATTTAATTATTAAACTAATTTTATTAACAAACCTAAGTTGTTAATAGAGCCTCAATACATACACAGTATATATTTTTAGAAGTCTGTTATATGCTATTTTATATACCTACTAAAATAGTAAGTAATTACGAATATTTTAAAAATATGCCTCGTTTATTTACTTTGCTCTGTAAATTTGGAAAGAAACAGATAATGGTGATGACATTCAATAAACTAAAATAAAATAAATAAGTAAATTTAAAAACAAAAAGTATCTCAATTCATCTGGGTTTTAGTGTTTATTTAATGTGAAATAATATTGCTAACCCTCTTAACAAATAAATGTTACAACTTTTTTCAAGTTTGGGAGTTTAGAGGTTTATCTGCTGTCAATAAATTCTACCACTCCTTCCAGAAAATTTGTGTTTAATTCAACCTTATCTTAATATTTTACTCTTCAACCCTTAGAGTGTCTGGTCAATAATTTGTATTTTGTAAGACCATAGACAAATAGAATTACATATTGACCAACAGCAGTGTTGCGGTTAGCATAAGTTCTGCCGTCCACCCCTAGGAGTGCTGTGTAATTACGTAGCACGAGCGCCTTAACTACACGGCGCTCCAAGCGGTGGACGCCAGAACATATGCTAACTGCAGCACTGCTGTCAGTCTATATTTAATTATATTTTTCTATAGTAAGACTTCTTTTGTTTGCCTTTTAATTTAATTTAACCTGTTTTTGAATTGTAACTGCATTTTCATTTTTGAAGTCTTGCCTTCTGGATTACTAACAGTTACTAATCTAGAGGTAAAATACCTTGTTGGCCACGTAATCCTCGGCATTCCTTGTTATACGTTGATAAAATAAATCATATTCCCACGTCAATGTGTCGAATAATAAATAAAAAATAATATACCTAGTAAGGTTTGTTTGCAAATTTTGCAGATTGCTGTTCTTTTAGACACAGGTTTTTAACAAAAAGTAAGTTGATATTTTATGAAAGGGATTGTGAAAAAAATGAAATAAATAGTGTTTTCTTGATTTGCAGGCATACAAAGTGCCGGGCCACAAGGGCCAGGTTGGATTCATCACGTCCATGAGTGAGCACTTCTGTGGCTCCTGCAACCGTCTGCGGCTCATGGCGGACGGAAGCTTGAAAGTGTGTTTATTCGGCAACACTGAAATATCTCTCAGGTCTGTCTATTTAATCAGGTGGATTATGTATTTGTGAATTAGCATTATTGCTGGTACACATTTCTATCTGCAGTAATAAAAAAATTAAGATATGTTATAACATGATTCAGTAGGTCTAAATAGGCCATAGAGATACAATCTCACATTCAGTCATGCCTAATCTCAGTAAAAAAATTCCAAGGCAAACTAAAAGTATCTAAAAAGTAAGGTGTTAAAAGTATCGAGAACTAACGCATATTCGAGCTAAGTGGAACTACAATTTAAATTGTAAACCAAAACATACAACGTCATTATCAATTGATTACAAGTTACTAGTGTACCTGTTGCTCGAATTCAAGTAATTGCTAAGTATTACAGGCGTTATTTCAAAACTAATAACAAGTCATAATTTCCGATGACTTGAAAAAAGTCTACTGAAAGATAATGTTATCAATCACTCCACTCTAGTTATCGAATCTGAAAACAAACTCACTATGACAACAAATGCTCACTCCACTCCAGTTATTGAAACTAAAAACTAACTCATTCTGAAAACGAACGCTCTTATGTGTATTATGAATAGCTGCAATTAATACATACAAACTATTCTTTTTTTTTTTTTTTTTTAAAGAGGTTGGCGGCCTCTTTTAACCTTGCATTTGCCCGTCCACATAGACTAAGCGCCCGTGCGTGGATCGTTTACAGCAAAGCAAGGAGTGAGCCGGTACAGTACAAAGGTGAACTGTACTGATAAAATGTTATCGGCAGTGACCAGGATCCGAACCCACGACATCGCTGCCTTGGGCCCGAAGTCCGCGACGCTACCGACTGAGCCACCGACTCACTACCCATCAACAAAAGTAAACAAAATATTCCCTTCATAAGAAATACATTGGCATTTTGATGGCCTGTCGGGCAAAGCCCTAGGACTTTTATTGCAGGAATTGTTGAAAGGGGGTGTCTACACAAAAAATACTTAATTATGACACATCGTTTGTAAAAATCCGTCCTTTATTAACGGAGGAGTAGTGTTTTGTAGAAACCGCCTTCACGTATTATATAAGGATTGGTGACAAGTGGGATTAGAACCCAGAAGTCATGTTATAAGATTAGCAACCCCCACGTAGTCTTGATGATGATCATCCTTTTTTTAACAAAAAAGTAAGTAGTAGCCTCAGAACGTATCCTATCCTGCTGTAACAGTTGGAATAAATTCGTGTTTTTTTTTTTTATTCCAGGGACGCGATGAGAAGTAACTGTAGTGAGGAGGATCTTCTGTGTATGATTGGTGCAGCTGTCAAACGGAAGAAATTCAAACATGCTGGTAAAGATTTAATTTATTTTAATTGTTGTTTTTTTTAAGAAAGTAACACTAAGTTTGATTACATAACGGAATAAGGAACAGTTACCGGTATTCTATTAAGAAAAAAGTTTCACTCAATTTATAGCACACTAAAGTCGACGACTTAATGTACTTGATATCTAGCCCCTCCAAGAGAGCTAGTTTTTAAAAGATAGGCAGTAGATTGTTTTAGATTTTTTTAGGTTATGAACTGTCTGGAACAATTGTTAACTTGTTAAGTGAGTAACTTTTGTGTATTGGTTCCTTCTTCATGTGTAACCTTAATTAGTTTTTTTTTTGTGAAGGAAATAGTTATTCAACTTTTTCTCTTTTTACTAAAACTAGAGTTTTTCCTCCTCGTAATTTCCTTTTTATGCATTCCTCATAGCCTTTGTTTTATTTATCTGTTAAAAGTTTGCCCTAGATCAGTTTAACTAAGAAAAGTAAGTATCAAGCTCATTGTTGGTATTTGTAAAACCATTGACTTTTATGAAGTTCCATCCCATCAGGAGCCAATTCTGTGTTTTAAAAGAACATAGTAGGATGAGTCACTCACAGAGTGTTCTGTAGTCTAAAATTACATTTCCACTTAGTTTGTGATACTATAACAGTTGACATAAGAGATCCTACAGTATACTATTAAATGTTCTATTTGTTCACAGTAAGTTAATGGTATTTATTTTTTGCATCTTGTAGTCAGATATTACTACTGTTATAATACAGCTTTCCTTTTCATCCGTCAATTAACCTGTCCAATTTAAGTAATTTTTAGGATTCAATATAAATAAACAAAAATACACAATCCACAGAGATTAAACTTGTTTTAGTTTTGTTTAGGATGATAGTATATTAGTATGAAGATGTTTGCAACATGGAGTATTAAATAGCAGAAACATAACTAAGCTACTTGCATTATTGTTGCAGGCATGTTCAACTTGGCTAAAATGCCCAATCGACCCATGATCTTAATCGGTGGATAGCTGTCATGTAGGTAGGCTGTTGAGAGAATATTTATAATGTCTTTTCTCAGATAATAATTTAAATTAAATCAATTTTCACTTGTAAGGATTGAGAAAAAAATTGATTGATTTAAAAAAAAAAATCAATTATGTTAGTACAGAAATTTTTCTTTTTATTTTAGTTTTAGTTTATATTTTGTAATTGTAACGTTAAGAAGTATGTATTTAGTATTCTGTACATTATGTGGAAAATAAACATATTATTTCATTCATTCATTTCATAAGCGATTTGTGCTATAAGATGGAACTATGATATCGTGTTTCACAATTTTGAAATTTGGAACAAAGCCTTGTATAGGTGTGGAGTTTTAGAAGTTGAGATAGACTTTTTGTAATTAACTAATGCACTTAAAATAACTTTGGTACAATACCTCAGTACTGTTAATTAAAGTCTGGTTTTTTATTTTAGTAAATAATTGTCATTGAGTTTTTAAAATCAACCGACTTTAATTCACCTAATTCCAGTCACAAATAAACCCTAAATGACTTGAGATTTCTATCATATTTGAAGTTTTTTTTTACGGAAGGGAAGGGTCCAAATCATTATCTTGTTACTATCTATGTTTTAGTCTTGTTCTTAAAAAATATAAAGTCTGGAAATGAGTCTTTTGCAATATTGGGCCCAACTTTGTGAGATAAATGGTAACTTCCATTGTAGAATAACTGATTGACTATTTTCAATAGATATATTTATTTATTATAGCGTAAAGAAAGTGACACTAATTTGTCTTTCTTTTCAGATAACACAAGGATATTTTTGCCCAGAACAATAAAATTCAGAATAAACGATCAAATCTCAACTCCCTCAGTCTGGAAGCAACAATGGAACAACCACCAGTTCACCCCAATCACCATTTACAAACCTAATCAAACGCACACTAGGATGTACAGCAAACTAACCCATGTGGACGGAGACGGGAAAGCTTCGATGGTGGACGTCGGTGCAAAGCCGTTGTCGAAACGTACAGCCGTGGCTGAGGCTACAGTCCACGTCGGGGAGGAGGTAGCGGAGCTGATAGCAGCCAACAACATGAAGAAAGGCGACGTGCTTACAGTGGCGCAGTTGGCAGGCGTGATGGGCGCCAAGCGGACGTGGGAGTTGGTACCACTGTGTCACCAGGTGGCGCTGTCACATGTAGACGTGAATGTGAGATTGGTTGGCAGCACTGTGCGAGTGACAGCGTCGGCTGCGTGTGTGGGACAGACAGGGGTGGAGATGGAAGCATTAACCGCTGTCACGGTGGCAGCCCTGACTGTCTATGACATGTGTAAGGCTGTGTCTCGTCAGATGGTCATCTCTGATGTGCGTCTTGTGTCCAAGACTGGCGGCACTAGAGGTGACTATGTCAGAGAGGTTAGTTGAATCAACCAACTCCAATGTAAAGTGTCCATGTTAAGCTCCTTTTTTTGGTATTTTCCATGTAGAATCTAACCAACATAATATGCTTGCTAATGAGAAAGGAAAGGTTATTTTTTAAAGGAAAAATGACTTGGGTAAATAAATTTTCTATAGAAAAATGAAACTAGGCCTACACCTGAAATAGTCTCAGGCATTTGATGAAACAAAGTTTACATAGTACTTTTAGGGCAACTTCAGACGTACATTTTTTTAACATTCCCTTCAAAAACAATTTCATTATTCAATTGCTTCACTAAGACAGCAACACACTTTCTGTACATATTTTAAGCTGAATATGAACCCCCAATATATGAATAGTTAGTGTACAATATGGTTGGTTTAAGGCTTTTTCTTTTGCCAGAACCATTATTTTATTAATTCCCAAAGATCGGCCAACAGTAGATCCAGTTTTGAACAAATATTAAGAAAGGCATTGATAATCACAGATAATCACAATTGAGTTACAAAAATACAATAGACCTCTACCCAGTTTGTAAGATTCTAATTGAGTTTTTTTTTTTTTACATTGTACAACGTCTATGTTTTGCTTACTTCAGGTTTGTCATAATTACTCATAGCCCACTGCGATCCAAAAGACCTTTTAATGTTGTCTTAATCGGTCAGTTGACCAGCTGTACTGGGTGTGGCCTTTTGGATGGCAGCTCGGATAAATTTCACATCAGTTGTCCCTGCCAACCGAATGGCCAGTGGTCCTGCCACTTCCCCCATTAAAAGACCAGTAACACTGACCAAAGAACATGATTTTTACAGAAACCAAATTTTTATTTGTTTTTATGTCTGCGGAATGGTGAAATCCTAAGAGCAACTTTGAAACTAAAATTCCAAGCTGATACAAAGAGAAAGACAGCCACAGAACACTTGCTAGTGTCAGGGACAGCTGATGATACCATAAAATAATTCCACATCGTTTACACTTCAGGCACAATTTTCATTGACCATTTCTTAATCTTAAATGTTTTGTTTTGCTACTCATGAATCCAGAGATTGGCGTTAGGTTAAACATTATTTTTCTGAAGGATTGTTGTTGTTTATCTGTCCATAAACTGTCTTAACACGTTCGCTCTGACCGGGCCACTAATGAAATTTCAGTCAATAGCAAATTTGTAAACAAATTACCATATTTAAAAAAGTTTTTTTGTTAAAATAAATATAGGTAAATGTCAAAGTTTTCCAAAACTTAATAAATTGGTAAAAAAAATATCGGAGCGAACCTGTTAATTTCTAAGAAAAGAGCTTTATATATATATATATTTTTCTAGACAAGGATTAAAAAATTAACTATTGTTTGGCATCAATATGTATTTATTTACACAACAGGGAAATACAAGGCTGTGATATATTCAACCATTAATGTGTTAAACATTTTATATAATTGATTGTTATGTATAATTTTGTAGCTGTTTATAACTTCTAGTATTTAAGAAAACCTACTTATATGATATGTAGTGGACCTTATCCGTTAATTCACTACCACTATGTAATTTGTATGTAATAGTACACAATTAAAGGCTAGGTGGTAGGTGTCGGGGCAAGGTACATCAGCATGCGGGGATAGATGTCGGGGCATAAAAGGGGATGGAGATTGGCGTCAGTTGGGTTCCTCAACCCAGGCTCTGTCTGCTGACAGAGAATGGAAGGAGACAATTTTAGAGTACCCTGAGATTAATGTAGGCCTACTCATTAATCAATTACGTTAGGCATAGTGTAGTTTTAGCGAATTTCCCCTATAGGGAATAAGCTATTACCGTAGTACTCATAGTGAGACCTGGACCCGGGACCGATTTACTTTTTTGTTTTGAGGTCCCTAGAGGCCAAAAACACCATTAGTTCAAATTCATATACATATATATTTTATATAAATATATATTTTTTTTTATTTGAAAAATCACAAAAGTCTTACAACATTTCATAAACAAAGCTTGCTGCAAAAGCCAGGAAAAATTGACTTGTCTGCCGTTTGTGCCTCTCATTGCTGGCTCACTGTTGGCCACACGGTCTAGCTTTTAGCTTCCCCCACTCCTGTAGGTAGAAGCTGACGCAGCCCATACACTCACGACTATAAAACGCAAATTTTTAATTGCTGCACTATTAAAATGTACAGGGTAGAAAAAAAGTTGCGGGACGGTTAAGTATTTCAAGTAATAAAGATAGAGCTTTAAAACTTGGTACACAGTTACTGGGCATTAACATAATTTTAACACATTATTCCGTGATACACTACCTCTTCAGGGGGACGGCGCGCTAGGAGTCAGAAGAAAATTTTAAATATAAGCACATAAAATTAAAGGTCTTAACTATTCTAATACAATGTCGCAAACTTGAACTCAAACGGACAAACCGAGTCAAAAATGGCAGCCGTTCAAAGATTTCAAGAATCTGCTAGATTGAATCTTTGAACGGCTGCCATTTTATGCTCTTTTGAGCTCAAATTTGTGGCATTATATTTTACTCTTAAAGACCTTTAATTATATGTGCATATCAAGCTATGCATTCGTTTATGATTTATTTCAAACTTCTAGGGGGGGGGGGGGGGGCTCCTGAGGAGATAGCGACAGCGTGCAAATTCAGCGCATCTCAAATCAAATAGCAGTCATTTTTGACTCGGTTGTCCATTGTATTTTACTACCAGTAACTGAGTACCAAGTTTTGAAACTCTATCTTTATTACTTTTTGAAATATTTAACCGTCCCTGTAACTTTTTTTCGACCTTGTATGGGGATGAAATATTTCTAATGCATGTCAAACTCTTTTTACTATTCAAAACTTAATGGCTGTGTTGTTTCTTGCAGAAAAACCCCATTCGAACTCTTTAAACCTGCACATTCACTTAACTCGAGATTAGATGTTTTTAGACAACTGATATTGCTAGTTGAAAATTTATTGCATAAGGCGAAAGGAATCATAGTAAGTATAATATTTGTAATTTCAAACCTATTTTATTAAACAAAAACATATTACATATTAACCATTTCTGAATAGAACAATTTTGTTAAGCGTTTGCCTCAGACATATGTTTGACGTAAGCACGATATTTTTTTCTTTCACTGTGTGATGATAATGTTTCTTACAAAATAGATCACAAAACATCGAATGAAAAAGTATCACGTTTACGTCAAACATAGATATTGGGCAAAATCAAAATCCAAACAAAATTATTTTAATCAGAAATGTTTAATGTTAATTATGTTTTTTCGTTTGATGACGAGTTTGAAATTACAAATATTGTTTTTTCTACCCTTTCTTTGTCATTACTGATTATTTCACCATGTAAAATTTGGAACTAGCAATATCGTCAGTTGTCTAAAAAATCTAAACTGAAATTCAATGTGTAGTTTTAAAAGAGTTCAAATGTGTTATTTTCTGCAAGAAACAAAACAGACAAAGTTTAAAATAGTAAAAAGAGTTTGATGAATTAGCAATTTTTATCTCTATATAATATATATTTATTTCAGCAGAGCAGTAACTAAAAATGTGAGTTTTATTATAGTGAGTGTATGGGCTGTGTCGGCTTCTGCCTATCAGGAGTGGGTGAAGCTAGACAGAAAACTGGACCCGCAGTGGCACTGAGAGTGCAATCCAGCAGTTCTTTACTACGAGGGCTATTCAGAAAGTAAGGAACGTTTCGTTCTCACGCCGCTAGGGGCGCGCACTGATCTCGTACAATTTTATGCGTGCGCATTTCGCAACTCTGCCAGCGTCCAGGCGTGACAACAGGAACATCCTAGCTTTGCCAGTATTTTTGCAATTTTATCTTAAAATGTGCGCTGCATTTCTAAATCCCGCCAGTTCTGAGGTACTTTCAGTGATACGGTTTTTTTTTGCAAAAAACATAAAACCAATAATACACATTTATTTGTGAAGTTTATGAAAACAACGTAATTAAGTAAAGTTCTGTGCAAAAATGGTGCATTCAGTTTAAAAATGGTCGAACTGACGTCAATGGGTCATGATGAAACCAAGGGCGGACGCCCGAGCATTGTGACTGAAGGATCTGGTTGCTTAAGTTGATGAAAGGTTTGCAAAAAACGCCGATTCACGATAGATAACAGAACTTTTGCTTGATGTGTGATATTTTCAAACAAGCAAAAAACGCCGATTCACGATAGATAACAGAACTTTTGCTTGATGTGTGATATTTTTAGGGATGGTCAAGTCTCGAAATTTCGGGAAATTTTAAATCTCGTTACACGAGACGAGATTTCTTTTTGGCCGAGATTTTTATCGAGACGAGAATAAAAAAAAAAATTAATAACGCCTGCAGAAAGTCAATGCAATACCCGCAATACAGGAGCGTGTTGTAGTTGCGTTTCCTTTGCGAAGGCGTTCTTATTTCAATTATTCTTTAAATGTAAATATTACTTTAATTTTAATTATTTTAATAATATTACTTTAATAACATTTGAGAAGTTTTGTTAAGTGTAAGCAGTGTGAGGAATGTTTTATTACTATAAAAAGTCAAAACAAGTACCTAACTATTTTATAAAAATTAATATTGCTTTTATGATTTATTTTATTTTAGGATAAGTTGAACTCTATCCTAACTGATATCACTATGTTTCCTAATCGTAGGCATTTTTAATAAGTTAGGCGTGATTAATAAAAAAATGTTATGCTGATTTTTTTAAATAAAAGATTGTAAATATTCTTGCCTATTATCATTATTTTTGTATTTAAACAGTCATCTAACAATGTTACAAAATCAGTTAAAAATTTTGAACGTGTATTTCCCGTTGTGTATGAGAAGGGAAATCCCGTCTCGATCTCGTCTCGAAATTTTATGAGAAATAAAAAATCTCGTCTCGTCTCGTCTCGAACTAAAAATCCAATCTCGTCCATCCCTAGATATTTTCAAACAACAATGTCCGTGAAACTGGAGCGAAAACTCTGTTAGGCCTATCTTGAATCAGCGTTTTTCGCTAACCTTTCATAAACTTTAGCGAACAGTTCCAACAGTCACAACGCTCTTGGTTTTGTCATGACTAATTGACATCAGTTCGGCTATTTTTAAACTGAATGTACCATTTTCATACAGAACTTTGCTTCATTACATTGTTTTCGTAAACTTCACAAACTTGGCAATAAATTTCTATTGGTTTTAAGTTTTTTGCAAAAAAAATCGTATCACTGACCGCACAACTGGAGGGATAATTGACACTTTTAGCCGACTACTTGGACTCCAAAAGGTCTTCATATTTTGTTGAGGTGTTTCCGGACCAATTGATTGATAAATAAATAAAAGGTTAAAATACCTGATTGTCGCCTTGTGGTCCAAAGTATTGTCCTAGTGGATTATGTACATTTCATCGCGAGCGCCATCGTCGGATCCGTATGTACATGTAACATAGTTTTTAACTTTTGCTACGCGTGCACGGGCAGGATATGGAGGCGCGCCAGACGTGTGTTGAGACTCGACTGAAGACGGGAGTTGGTCGTGATCTGACCTTTGTCCTGGTGATGTAGGTAGTGAAGCATTGTTTCGGCTATTATTTATTTGTATTAATGTTTCAAAAATAATGTTGGATTGCAGTCCGAGTCTCGACTCACGTCTGGAGCACCTCCATATCCTGCCCGTGCACGCGTAGCAAAAGTTAAAAACTATGTTAGTTAACGGTCGACCGGTTTTTATGTGTGTTTTGTGTTGTGAACTTTTTACGCACCTGTTCAGGGAAGTTTTGTTAATAGTTCTTATACGGATCCGACGATGGCGCTCGCGCCGAAATGTACATAATCCACTAAGACAATACTTTGGACCACAAGGCGACAATCAGGTATTTTAACCTTTTATTTATTTGCCAAAAGGTCTGGCTGACCCCTAATTATAAAGTTTCTGCCTGAAAAACATAGTGGTAGTGAGTTCACAAAAAGGTCCAAAATATTTTTTGTGTAAAAATATGGTTGTGGATTTTTGTAATGGTTTTAAAGAGAATAAATATATTTTTGTTATAAAAATTACAATTATTGTGTTACCCACCTTTTTGAAAAGGACGTGACAGTTAACATGATCAAAAGTCTTAAATAAAAAATATATTAGGGAACAATATTAATTAAAAAAAAATAATAATTATTAACTAATATACTTATTTGGGAAGCAAAACATTTGCAAATACAATCAACAGTGGTCTTTGTTTATTAAAAAGCTTGGAAATACTTGAGATCTAATCAATTGCCATCACTTGCAGCCAAAGTATTGTCTTATCAATACTATTACATAGTTTAAAGATCGACTTGGTCTCGATAGTCAAACCTTTTTGTAAATCAGGCTAAATAAATGGCGTTAACAAATTTTTGCTAAAAGAAAAATGTTAACCATAGGTAAAATGAACTATCAAAATATTTTTTTTACATTTCAGCCAAATCTGTAAATTAATCTAAACACTACTTACAACTGAGAAGTCCAAAGTAGTAAAAATTCTATTCTATGTACAAGTTATTTCACATACACTGGCTAGAAGGAGGTGCGGGGCGTACGGGAGGTGGATGCGTCGTCTGTACTCTTGACATTGAGAGTCTGGCGGGGGCCGGTGGTCCACACGTTGCCCCCGTCGTCTTGCACCGCTGCCTCCACAGTAACTGTATGCTGACCCCCGGCCCCCAGCGCCAGTAGGAACTGAGCTGTAAAGAAATCTCTGTGTGGCGTCACGCTCTGCCACAACACCACACCACCATCTCCCGACTGTAATACAAAATTGTTAATATTCTTCAATACTTAGTGGGAGTAAAAATGTTGCAACGTCGTCTGCAGTTTCAAAACAATATGGTTGTGATTCTTTATGAGCCATTATATTTGAGTTTTTTACAGTGTATTTTAAAAGTGTGTGACTAAACTACAGTTTTAAATTATAGGTAAAGTATCTTTATCCAAGTGAAGTTATAAAATTTCAAAAAGCTTTTAAAATTGTACAGCTAAAAGGACTTATAAAAATACTCACATTTCTCCTAGCCAATAGCACATGTTTTAAACACCAACCAAATATATTGTTGAAAAGGACACTGGGAGCACAATCTTTTAACTTTCATTATTATTTACCAGTTATCAATAATTTTACAACTTGACCACTGTTTTAAAATAAATAAAAATGGCTAATTACAAAGTAAAGAACTTAATCACATCAAGATAAACAGGAAACAACTTACAGACTACTTGACACAAACAGTATTTTCCTGTTTGGATCCCCACCCTACCCCCTGCCCACCTGATACATCTGACCCAAGGCGTATTTGCAGCTGACCAGCTTATCACCAAGCAAGACCTGACCTTTGGAGCAATAACAATATTGGAGCAACAAACCCAGATATTACACCTGTTGAGATCATATTTGTGAAGAATATAATATTTTATCTGTTTACACATTGAAGAGATTCATTATCATTATCATAATCATTCATTCATTATTATCTTGGTTATATATTTTCATACCTGTCATACTTTTATTTTAACCAATGCATGTTTTGTTTACGACTTATATTTTTGTTGTATAGAAAAACATTGTCTTGACTACAAAGATGAAGTTTAAAATTGAGGAATCAAAAAGTGGAAAGGATAATCTCATTTTTAACAATTATAAATATAGACAAAATTATGTGGCGAAAAATGGTGATTTGACATGGCGTTGCCTTGGAAGAAACTGTAATGCAGTTATTAAAACTGACTCAGCTAAGTCAGCAATTATTGCATCTAACATTAAACACTCTGGGCCTCATCCTGTCACTATGAGATCACTGTTATCTCCAAAAACCTCATCTACCCAGGAGTCCCCTGCCCGTATAGTATCTAATGAAAAGAATTTCTTCGAGACATCCACTCCTCAGTTTTTCATTACACCATCTGAGTCCCCCCTGGATATTACTGATAAATCACAAGAATTAGCATCCCCTACAGTTTTGGAATTACAAGGAAAAAACATGCATTTAGTTAAACAAAATGAAACTTTAAAAGAGCAATTAAAATGTGTGCTTGATCACTCCATTGAGTCGGATACTCGTCTGATGAAATACACAAATGAGATTTTTCCCGTCCCAGACTATCTTCCGAAAAAAATTGTACCAGATATGACAGATTTTTCTGTACAGTGTGTACCTGATACATCTGAATATGCAACTTCAACCGATGATCTTGTTTCACATGTGCAAGAGAGTATAAAAAATAGCGAATCGAAGGGAGCCCAAACTGACAGTCTGTTGCTAAATAAAACAATGATTATGACAGAGTTATTAGGCACCAACTGGCTCTCAGATCTGTCTCTCCAACCATACTTCGATATGCTAAGTAATAAATTCCTAATTCCAAACTCATGTATTATAATAAACCCGTTGATAGTGCATGCGGTAAAGAATAGCCAAGACTTTCATACTTTTTTAGATCCTCTAAAAGTTACAGAAAGAAAGATAACTATCATGCCAATAAATGACTCGGAGGAAGTAAGTAGAGAAGGCAGTGGATCACACTGGAGTGTTTTGATCTTCGACAGAGATGAAAATAAATTTTACCATGCAGACTCTCTTGGTAACTACAATCTTCATTCAGCAAAAAAAGTTGCTCAGAGACTGTCAGAGTATGTGGGTGGTAAAGCACCAACAGCTAGCTTTCTGTCATTAAAAAGCCCACAACAGCCTAATAGTTATGATTGTGGTATCTACTGTTGTTGGGTTGTTGAGTCAATAGTAAATGACGTAGTTACTACTGGATTCTTGAACATTAATTCCATTCAGAATAAGAAGCTGACAGAACAGGAAGTAATTCAAAAGCGTGCACAATTAGCATATATTCTTCTTAGCCCCTCAACAGTTAGTGGCAAATTACTTTTTTCTCTAATGATTCAGAAGGACACAAAATTAAATACCTTGGTCATTGAAAAAAGCAACACAGAAATCAAAAATGCTTTGTCGCAAAATAGCTGGACTCAAGTACTAACTAAATCAAAACATCTCAGTTTCGAAACAAACCATAATCCTACTTTACCTATAAAAAACAGATATGATATCCTCCATACACTTGAACAAGAAAATAAAACTCCAATGAACTGTACACAGAAGCCCACTGTCCCTCCTGCTAACATGAAGAGAAGAAGAAATCATGAGAGTACACTAGGAAAGCAAAATACCCTACAATATGTAAATAAAGCACACAACACAAAAACCACGATATCTGAAACTGATATTTGCCCAAATGTCAAGACAACACTTTGTGCAGACAGCCAGGGTAAACATATAGCCTGGAAAATTCAAAAATTCAGTTCTGAAAAAATAAATACTTTTGGCTATGTCAGAGCTAACACCACTCTTCTACAAGTACTCGAGTCAACTACTATTGATAAAGACAACCCTCTGATTATATTAGGGGGCACCAATGATAGTCTGAACGGCACCTTACCAACTTTGTATAAAGAACTAGAAGAAAAATTACAATCAGTCTGCAAACATAGGCCAGTTTTCCTTTGTACAATCCCTATTAGATATGACAAAGCACAAAATGATCCGGACAACTTAGATATACTGCTAATGAATAAATATTTTAGAGAGTTGAGTTACAAAATGGACAATCTCTCTGTAATAGATCTGGATGATTTTCGGCGCTTCCATTTTACAACGCACGGACTGCACCTTAATGGCCGTGGCAAGTCAAAAATTGCGTTCCTCATAATAAATGCCCTAAAAAATTGGTATCACGGAGATAAAAAACTACCAAAGGTTCCTGGAGATCCCACAGCAGAACCACAGCAACCACAGCAGAATGCAACTTCATATTCAGCACCACCTTGTCTACCAAATTCTGACAATGCAGTTTCAATCACTAGTGATCCTACAATTAAACTACTGGAAGCAGACATGACAAATGTTATTAAAGATCATATAAATAATAAGGACATAGTTTTCGCCCATTGCATATCAGCTGATCTTGATCACGACAAAAATATGAGTGCTGGAGTGGCGGTTCCGTTCAAGGAGCTTTTTGGGAAGCCAACAACTGCTGACTACTGCAACTCAAACTTAACGCTACAAAAACATAAAAGTGGAGCTAGTGTATTTGGTTTGGTTACAAAGTCAAAATTCTACGGAAAACCCAGCGACACCAATTATGAGCTCTATAATAAAGCATTTCAGCAGTTGATACAAGAATTTAAAAAACAAAATTTCAAGACCCTCATCTGTTCTCCATTGGGATGCTCAAGGGACCGTGTCTTACCACAACACTTTGCAAAATATATAGTTGAATTCCAAAGCTCCACTGCTGCATCAGTTATTATTGTCATCTCAAAGAAGTACATTTCAAGTAAACAGAAGAACACAAAGCCATATTCTGAGTTTGTAAGGAACCTCACACAGGCCATTGCAACGGAATCATTTCACCATAAAACCAACAAATCATCCGAGACTCAGTCTGTGAACAAAACATCCTCTGCATCATTCCCTCTGAACCCGAAGCAGGCACAACCTCAACCACGGACTGTTACAGAAGGAAGAATATCGACGCAGGACAACCAGCAACAAGACAAGGGTGATCTACTCAACACTACAGCAGACCAGGTGACTCAACTTACTTCCTCGACCTCTGACTCCGCAACACAGTGTAGTGAAAATGCAAATAAGGCCTCTAGTGGTGATGAAAAAAGTGAAGATTTTGTAAATAGTATACTAAGTGGTAGAATAGCTGGTCACAACAACAATTTTTTACAGAATATAAAGCCTCAACTGATAGCTCGATAAACAAAATTCTTAATAACCATCCTAAAATAAATGACATCCCAAGTTGTGATAGAAATGATCTCATGTTGTTACACATTAATATAAGATCAATTCAAAACAAATTAAATGAGCTGCAATATTGTTTGGATATGTTAAACTGCTCCATATTATGTGTTAATGAGCACTGGTTGAAAGATTTTAATGTTGACTTGTCTGTTCCCTTTAATTTTAGGTTAGCAGTTGCTTACTGTAGAGTTAACACAATTAGAGGAGGCACTGCCATATATTTAAAAAAAAGCTTAGATTTGGAATATGAAACAATTGATTTAAGTAAAATTTGTATTGAAACAGTTTTTGAAGCATGTGGAATAATCTTAAAACAGTATAGAACTATAATTATTTCTGTATATAGGATTCCAGCTACTAGTGAAGAAATGTTTATTGATAAGTTTGAATGTATGTTATTGGAACTATCAAAATACAAACACTGTAAAATAATTATCACAGGAGACATAAATTTTGACATTAGAGAAAAGAAAAAAAATGTAAATGAGTTTTTAAATATGTTAAAGTCATTTAATTGTTGTTGTCACAACTCAAAACCGACTAGATATGAAGCATGTCTAGACAATATAATTAGTAACTTAACAAACACAGACTTTACTTTTGATTGTATTAACTTAGGTCTATCTGATCATGATGGATTATGGTTAAAGATGAGTAGTTTTTTCAATAAGAGCAGGAAAGAGGTTAAATTTCGTATATTAATTGACAAAGCTATTAATTCATTTCAAAATGATTTAAATATGGTTGACTGGTCATATGAATTGTATCCCTTTAATAATAATATAAATGCATGTTTTGATTATTTTATTAACAATTTAAAATTAATTTTTGAATCAAACTGTCCCATTGTTACTAAAATAAACAATAAAGACAATATCAAGCAAGCATCTCAACATAGCTCTAAGTGGTACACTGATCGCCTCCAAAGGATAAGAATAATGCTTTTAATATATAAGGACAAGTCTCACTTGAGTGAACAAAATAGATTAAATTATTTAAGACTGAGAAAAATTTATAGACATGAAATAAAATTGTCTAAGCGCAAGGTTAATGATGAGTACATTGCAAATTCAAAAAATAAAGTTAGGGCTGCTTGGAATGTAATAAAGAATGAAATCAATGATTCTAAGATGGAAAATTCTGTTCCAGTTGATATAAATGTTTTAAATTATAGTTTTGTAAATTCTGCTTGTTTACCACTGAATAATAACAGTTCACTTAACAGACAAAGTGCAAGGGACCCTATTGCTCTACTCTCAGCTTCAAGAAAGGTTGATACTAAATTCCAATGGTCACCAATCTCCCAATTAAATATTATAGAGTCCATTAATAGACTAAGTAGTTCTAAGGCTGAAGACTATTATGGCTTCTCCAATTATGTAATCAAAAAGATAGGCCCTCTTTTGATATATCCACTTACCATTCTATATAATATGATGATTGAACAAGAAATTTTTCCAGAATGTCTTAAAATATTAGTTACAATACCAATCTTCAAAAAAGGGGAAAAAACTGATCCAAATAATTACAGACCGATATCTCTAATCCCAATTCTTTCTAAAATATTAGAACACTGTCTACACCAACAAATTTATTCATATTTTGAAAAAAATAACTTGTTCTGTGATAGTCAGTTTGGTTTTAGATCAAATTTGTCCACAATCAAGGCCTTGGAAAATATAATCACAGATATTTTTAACGGTTGTGATGGTAAAATTAATATGTCTGCAACATTAATTGATTTGGCTAAAGCTTTTGACTCCGTCTCTCATGAAATTCTAATTAAAAAATTGGCTTTTTACGGAGTAGTTGAAAAATCATTAAATCTGTTAAGCTCATATTTAGTGAACCGTTTCCAGCTGGTGCAGGTAAATAATTCAAGATCTAATATGTTAAAAATCAAAATTGGCATACCTCAAGGATCAGTCCTTGGGCCTCTACTTTTTATTGTTTTTATTAATGATTTGCCTTGTTTTGTTCCCTGTAAAACCACTCTTTATGCTGATGATACTACATTCCTCACAAGTGGTCAAAATCTGAACAAAGCACTTGAAGAACGGGATGGGGTGTTAAAGTTGGCTGAAGAGTGGTTTCGGGGAAATGAATTAAGGATTAACAACTCAAAAACAGAAGAAATTCATTTTAACCTTAGAATAAATTCTAATGACAATAAATCAGTAAAATTGCTAGGAATCCATATTGATCAGAAGCTGAATTGGATTGAGCATACAAACTTTTTATGTAGTAAATTGGCTAGAACTGTATTTTTATTTAACAAATTAAAGAACAATGTAAGTGAACAAATTATTCTAAATTGTTACTACGCATTTTTCCATTCTCACCTACAATATGGTGTTCTCTTATGGGGTAACTCTGTAGGAGCCAAAACCGTTTTCAAATGGCAAAGGAAAGCAGTCAGGTTCATTAGAGGAACAATGCCCAGGGAAGATTGCAAAGCAGATTTTAAGGCCCTAAATATCCTAACCCTTCCATCTTTATACATTTTAAATTGCTTATTATACGTAAAAGAGAATATAGACCAGTATAGCATCCGATCTGACATACATAAACATTACACAAGAAATAGCCATCATCTCAACTTACCAATTACAAGACTTACACTTACACACAATAGCTACAAATATCTTAGTATACAATTTTTTAATAAATTGCCCCCTTCTGCAGTAACGATTCCAATAAAAAAATTCAAAACAGTCCTTGATTCATGGTTAAAATTAAAATGTTTTTACTCTGTAGATAAGTTCTTGTCCTTGGAGGTTTTAGATATAAGTTTTAAATAATTTATTTAAGATCAAGCTTCCTGTTATTTATTATGACTATGTTTAATGCTTTAATGATAAGATGCTATTTGACAATGTCAATTGCTTTTGTAGAGCTGAAAGACAATAAAAAGTAGGGATGGACGGGATTGAATTTTTAGTTCGGGACGGGACGGGACGGGATTTTTATTTCCTTCCCGATTTTCGGGACGGGACGGGACGGGATTTTTTTCTGTGCATAAAAAGAAAGTACTGTATTGCAGTTACCAAAAAAGACATACGAAATCAATTTTTACCATTGTGGCACTGATCTATAAAAACCAAAAAATGGGTAACAATTTACAGGTACCGGTACCTATAGAAACTTGTGACTCGCGGGTCACGAGGTGATTGTCTGTATGACTCACGGTCATGGCGCGATCGTCGTCATGACTCGCGGTCACGGCGCGATTGTCGGTATGACTTCGCGGTCACGGGGTTATCGTCGGTATGACTCCACGGTCACGGCGCGATCATCGTCATGACTCGCGGTCACGACGCGATCGTCGGTATGACTCGCGGTCACGGCGCGATCGTCAGCATGACTCGCTGTCACGGGGTTATCGTCGGTATGACTCCACGGTCACGGCGCGATCGTCGTCATGACTCGCGGTCACAACGCGATCGTCGGTATGACTCGCGGTCACGGCGCGATCGTCGGTAGGACTCCGCGGTCACGGCGCGATCGTCGGTAGGACTCCGTGGTCACGGCGCGATCGTCGGTATGACTCGCGGTCACGGTGCGATCGTCGGTAGGACTCCGCGGTCACGGCGCGATCGTCGGTATGACTCGCGGTCACGGCGCGGTCGTCGGTAGGACTCCGCGGTCACGGCGTAATCGTCGAAATGACTTCGTCTCCTGCGTTCGCGGACCTATCGCTCGCAATAACGGCGTTATCGGCACTCGCGAAGCGGAAAAATCGCCGACGATCGGACCAAATCCCGTCCCGAAAAATTCCCGAGTCAAATGTAATCCCGTCCCGATAATCGGGAATATTTTTTTCCCGAAAAATTCCCGAAACTTCGGGACCCGTCCATCCCTAATAAAAAGATTTGATTTGATTTGATTTGCATTTTTATCTTTATTTGTAGACTTTTGCAACCAGGTGTAATTAAAATCCATAGTGTTTTTTTTTGCGTAAACCATGTCATTGTAAGTTGTAGATTGCTGCTAGAAGTTTCACCACTCAATTTCAGTGCATTTTCTGAGGTTAGACCCAGTCTTAGCCTAGCACTGAGGGCAAAACAACTGGCAGCAGCCACTGACCAAAAAATAGACGTTGAAAACCACTATGAACTTAAATAGCGGTATCCGAATATGTTAGAAAGCTGCAGTATTCCTTCAATGAAATCATTTTTTGAAATTATCTATGTGTCCTTGGTAAAGATGGTCATTAAAAAAACATTTGTTTTGGAATAAATAATTTGAACATCTTTACTTGAATGACTCGCTCTCAAAGTCAGTATGGCAAAACTACCAGTAATAGTAATTAGTAAATACATAGAGTTAGTACCAAGGATTAAGAATCCCTATTGATTTTTGCCCCGCCGCCCCCGCCTGTTACTCATGGCCTTCAACTCAGCGTTTCTCTATGAGGCAACCACTAACCAACATTGATGTGTATATTCTTTTCCTTTGTATTGAATATAAATCACTTACAGAGTAACAATTGAATCTTCCGAACACATTTAAGTCACTAAAGCGTATCATTTTTACCCTGTAAGCTAAAAATAAACACCGTTGAAGTTTTTCAAGCCCATCACAATTATTAACGCTATAAACAGCAACAAATGTTTTCTCACCTTAGTGTCAGTAGACGTGGCTTGTGGGCGAGAGGTAAGCTGTGAACTGAGCGTCAATAGAACACCTTTGACGGAGCGGAAATGCCCAGGTCTGGAGCCATGTTGTATCACTCCTTCCACCTTGACAGCCAGCTGGGACCCTGCGGCTACGCTCAGATACTCTCCGTTCACTCTGGGCTGCGGAGTGACTGCCAGCTGTAACAGGTGTCATGGTAGAGTGTAGACATACATAGGCTGGATATAGAGCTAGAGAAGGCTACAGGGCTAGCTAGATATAGAACTGGTGTAGACTATATATATAACCGCATAAGTTTTGTGAACCAAGTATAGTCCTCCAGTCTTCTCTAGCTCTATCCTGTATATATATAGCCTGCCATAGTTAATCTTATACGTGTAACCTGCCTGTGAACTTAGAGCAGATTACACATAAAATAGCATGCCATATATATATATATATATATATATATGGCAGGCTATGTATATATATACATACAGGCTAGAGCTAGAGGAGACTGGAGGACTATACTCGGCTTACAAAATGTAGACGGTTTTGAGGAAAGAAATCTACCCCCTCCACTTGACCCTTCCCTTTAAAATAATAGCTTAACAAGCTGATTAAGCAACATACAGACATACGACATACTGACTCATATTGATTAAGCACCAAAAAGTAGTGGGGAAACTTCCCTCAAACTGCCTAAATATTGTGCAAAGAGTATAGTATAGTTTTTTAGTACAAAAATCTTAAAAAAGTTTTATGTTCTTGTTTTGCATAAATTACTCACCAAGAATACTATTAATAACCTAACCCTACACTCGGTTCACAATATTTAGGCGGTTTCAGGGGAAGAAATCTATCCCTTCCACTTGACCCAGCATTAAAATAATAATGCTCAACGGGTGATTAAGCAACATATATTAAATACAAAAAAGTGGTGGGGGAACTACCCCTTTAACAGCCTAAATATTGTGAACAGAGTTTTTCAGTACAATAATCTTAAAAGGATTAAAATTCTTGTTCTACAGTAGACTCCCTCTAATCCGGTTTAACCGGACTACACTCGGCGGAAATGACATCTCTTTAACCGGACAATTGTTATCAGCACATTGGTTTAACCGGACTAGATCGGCAGGAAGTGGGTGGTACTGGAACGACTGTTCTCGTGGGAAAGATTTGAGACCAGTGATCACGTGTCTAAATACAATGCTCTCCTAGATTTAAGTCAAATATCACAGTAAACAGCCCGTTTTAACGAGTTTTTGGGGACATCGGTTTAACCGGAAAACCCGTTAACCGGACTGGCCTCGGTCCCGAGGAGTTCGGATAAGAGGGAGTCTACTGTATATAAATTACTCACTGAGAATACATAATTAATAATCTAAGTAATAATTCATATTTTTGGCCAGCTGTAAGCAACAGACTAAACTTTCTACACATAATTGACTATTTATTAGAATAAGTTGATACCTTAACACTTGTAGACTGCAGAACTTGGAAGAAGAAGCGAGGAAGACACAAAGATCCTTCCAAGATGACCTCCACCTGCTTCATGAGACATTCCAAGTGCTGCGGCAGAAATAAACCAGAGTTAAGAATTTTACAACTCTCAATGCAAGAACATGATTAACCACAACAAATGATGCATGAGAACCGGGGACAAAAGAGGAGTTACTTTAAATGATTAAGCATATCTTTTTCACCACACTAGAGTCCATATGATGGAACCTGTGTCCTGAACCTCCCTCCGTCTACTTGGCTGGCCAATGCTCTAAGGCGCGGGACATGCAAAGGCAGACGAAGGGCCCGGAGACAGGTTCCATCATACACACTATAGGAAGTTTCAACCAATGTCTGGACTGGACAGCAAAGAGGTTATATTTTTTTCCTTTATTAGTAAAGGTTTTTGTATCAATTTTGTGTCGGATTTATTATGATCTGTGTTGCTATTTTTTTCAATCAGTAATGTTGTCTTACAAAAGGTCCATATATAATCAGTAATAACAAAACTAAGCTTGCGACCATCATGATGAAAACTAAAGAAATCATTTCATCATTGCACTCGCACTGCGTTGAAGATTACGATACGAATAGCTGTGTTAGAAAGACATCGCGATAGGTGGTAGTCTAGCCATATGAATTATTTTATTTAAAAAATCCGCCCTTGAAAAAAAAAAAAAAACGTATCTGTATTTGGATTCGAAGATCCGGATCCGATTTTTTCAAGATCCCCATCACTACTATTCATTGATTATTCAACAAAAAAAAAAAAAAAACAGATCAGTATAATAACAGAACCACAAAATTTGTATAATTGATTAGCAACTGTAACCAAATCTAAGTAAATATAATATTGGTGCCTATAGTTGTCCACAAATAGGGTATCAATACTTTTGATGGTGAAAAAGCACCTATAACCAGGGAGAACTACTCACTCTTGACTTGATTTCTCACTTGATTTGAGCTTTCAAAACCCCTTTTGTGGCCCGGATGCAAACTAAATAAATAATGAACCATTATTTTACCAGTATACTTACCAAATGTGTGATAGGCTTGATGGACTTGTCTATTGACCGTGCTGTGAGAGCAGCTCGTTGGCAACACTGAACCATCAGCTGTGTCTCCAGGCAGCTCTTCTGCAGACTGCATGCAAAAAACACTGACATCAGTTGCTTTATAAAAACCATTCTATACAAGCAATTATCACACAACAATGGCATGTAAGAGTAAGTAAGCCTAGGTTTAATTGCTACTATCTAGAGGAATTATTTATGGGAGGGACGATGGGACACAACTGTGTATTTTAACCCAGAGGCAGTAGAACTACAATCATCCACATACATTCACACAAAGCCTCTCAATATTGAAAAAGAGGCCAGTGGCGACGAAACATTCAGTGTTTCTTTTTTATTACCTCAGTGAAGTGGGTTGTCTAAGATTTTTAGCTAGATAAGCCTGTTTATCACGTCCTTGTCTAATAACTCTCAGGCAATAAGCCCTTCCAATTTAACATATCAATCAAAATATTTACAATGTATGTTAGATATTATTCTCACCTGGCATCAAGAGCGGGTTCGTCGCCCTGGTGGTTGGTCACTGCGACACACTCTATATTGTGGGCCATAAGAGCACACATGTGCTGCAGTCTGTTGTACACAGTCAAGGAGTCAAACATACACATTACACGGTGACAGTGTTGTTGCTAATTACCTGATTGCAACTTAGGCTATCAGCGACTGTTTATGATTGCAACTTAGGCTATCAGCGACTGTTTATGATTGCAACTTTTATGTGTCACAAGTCATTCTGCGGGCAAAATATTGAGATGTGTACCACATAATAAGGTGTCTACTGGTCATGATTGCAGGAGAATGTTAATCATATTAAGGGTGATTGTCACTATTCTGCTACCATAATTGGTCTATATATACAGCAAAGCAAGGAGTGAGCCAGTACAGTTCAAAGGTGAACTGTACTGATAAATTTTAGTGGCAGTGACCAGGATCCGAACCCACGACATCGCTGCCTAGGGCCCGAAGTCCGCGACGCTACCAAAATATTAACTCACTAAACTCATCCTACACTCACCCCCATTCATACTTGGCTTAAAATACCTACTTTGTATGGTCGCCATTTCATCGAAAAGTATTAAAAAGTATATTTTTACGATTCCAGTTATTATGGTTTTCAATATCATTACTATTGCAGTTATTATGGTTTTCAATATCACCATGATCGTAGGTAATCATAGTCTATGGCATTAGGTCGAAGCTTTACAGTGTCACCATAATCAGTGGCGGTGGTCACATATTGTCATCAAAGGAGATAGTTTACAATATTGCTTCAACTGAAAGAAAAAATCATAATGTGTCTTAAAGACCATATTTTAACTTTTATTTCGTTTTTTTTTTATTTTAGGGGAAATGTGTGCTCTCCCATTTATGTTTAAACCCATTACTCCCATCCATCCTTACATGTTTTACACCTGATGAACAAAAAATATGAAGACCGTTCCTTAAATTTTCTCTAAAAACATTGTAGAGATTGTAGAGATAATGAAAAGGATACATTTGAATATTGTTCAATGAGCTGATGTCGGCGTCAAACGCTGATTGGTAAAGTTTCCAATAAAGTTCCCCACAAGTCTGAAATTCCTTGATACACTTCCGTAACTGCAACCAATGAAAAACAATAAATAAAATCAAATATAAACGTTAGCTCATTCATGGATGTTCCTTTTGAATAAAAATGACTACAGAGTCTATACTAATGTATCCAAAAGTCTACAACCTCTCGCTAATTTTGGTCCTACAAATATTTCATTTAAAGCTTTGTACATTAAAAATCAAACATACTCGGTTAGTGATGTTGCCGAAGCGCTGCAGATCGTCTCGTGTGGTCTGCACTATAGTGGCGGAGATGGCAGGTGGAGGAGCCGTGCAGAAGCTCTTGCAGGTGGCCACCAGCTGGGACAAACACTGCAGCATCTCACAACGCAGGCGCAGGTACTCTGTCTGGAACACCAGGGACTGTCCCGGCGTACTGGCCGCCTGCAGATGTAACAATACCAGGTTATTTTGGGGATTACTGCGGACATTTACTATCACGATTGTCAATACTGAATCTTATTTCAAGATTGTGAATCCAATACTGTCCTAGGCTAGAAAGTATTTAAAACAAAACAATTAGAACTCAAACTCAGCCAAAGATGAAAAATAAAATAACAAAAGAAAACTCACACAGAGAACTTTACTTGAGACTACTACCACTGAGCCAGGGTCTTGCTTGAACCACCAGACGGTTGCTTGTGCAGATCGGTCTGTTGTGTTCGCCTAGCATCTAAATTTGAACCTACTATTGTTTTATCCCAGTATTTTTTCTGCTTTAGACTACTATTACAGCTCTCTGTTTTATTTTGTGATTTTTTTTAGTTTTGGCTGGGTTTGATGACGTTTTGAGGGAATTCAAAAAATCAACTTCAACAAGCTTTATCAAGGTTGTCCCTCAAAGCCTCTTAAATACTATTGAGTTGGGATCCCTATAAATCTTACATTTTATTAAATTTTCAAAAATGTAAGGAGCTTACTGATAGAAAACAGTCAAGAAGGTAATATCCCCGTTGCCTACTGTTGTAGAGTATTTATCTCAAATGGTGAATTCATAACTAATTGTTACAATCTGTGTGATTCAAAATTTGCACAACTATGTCAATCAGAAGCTTGGAATTGGAAGTTCAGACAACAACAAAACAGATTTCACATTTTTTCAGTAAAAAAACAATATTTCAGCTGAGTATCACCTTGATGGCAGCCAGAGCCTTGTAGTAGTGAGTGGTAGCAGCTCCGAGGCGGTCCAACACCGCAGACGCTCCTCGTAGACTGGCCTCGCCAGCGCTCACCTCCTCCAGCGTCAACAACCAGAAGTGAAAGTTCTCTGAGGATACGTGCTCGTGAAGCTGGCTCACGATGCGAGCACACACACCGAAGTGGCCATACCTGCACATGTGGTTTTAAGAAATCTCTGGTTGAAGGAATCTCAATAGTAAAACACATATAATAGACTTAAACTCATGCCAAAACTGGTGTTGATTAAGCCAAATACCGACGAGTGACCACTAGGTGAAGATAGGTTAGGTTAGTTTTATTTGACCAAGAATCAGTTAGTTACCTGGCTGCTGATCGAGCTATCCTATAATTGGCCCAGAGGTTGGTACTCTGTACGACAGACTCTATGGTGGACTGGTCACCTAGTGTAAGCCACCGGTCAGCTGAGACACATTGGAACACTAGAGTACACAGCATCACCTACAACAAGCACACTATGAGGAACACTGCTGTGGAATCAGTAGATGTGTTGAATATTCTGAAAAATTACAAACAATATTTTTAGCTTTTATCAATAGTTTCTTAACTGATTCTGAACACTGAGGCCTTAACATTAAACCCTTAGATCCATTGATATTTCAGTATTTCAATTACTGTATGACTGTTTATTTTTCCTCCTCATCACATAAGACACTTCAGACACTTAAGTCTGAATTAAAAAGTTTTCCGTCGACACTCACAATAAGGACAAGCAAAAAGGAGCGAAATTCCTGATCTGAGTTGCAAATCTTAGGCTGGATTTTCCTATGTGCAAAAGCGAAGAACAAAGCTCTCTTCGTCTTAAGTAATTTAATGGCAGGTAATGTTTCCTAGTAGCAGAGTGGGCAAAATCGCTACTCTAGCACTCCACTCTTGCTATTCCTGTCTAAGAAAACCCAGCTATGAATCTTACAATTCTGTCAATTTCCACTTATTTCAACATCCACTGATTTCAGATGTCTACTGTTGATTTTACAAGGGTCTCTCTACCACAGACAACTCCAAATCTAATCGAGAGCCCCCATTGATCAGATTTAATTGTCTATCATATTATCAACCGGACAACCAAAAACCCAACTGTAGTAATTCGTTCTAAACTTAACTATGAGGAATATGTTACACCTGTTTTTGTTGGCTTAACATAAACAATCATGAAAATTATCCTTAGATGATCCGTAAGGATTATAATGCTACCGGGGAGGATGTTTAATCTGCACTACTTTACTTACCTTGGTATGAGTATTGTCTTGAGCAGAGTTTTCGTTACTACTCAGCTGGTTTAGTTTCTTGAGGAAATACTTAAGGAAAGCCTCGGTCGAGTGTTGCTGCATTCCTCCGATCGCTCCCAAAGCTTCACACAGCAGAGCGGAACACCAATCTGAAACATTTGAACAATACTTCATTGCGGTGGATAGAGGTGTTATAGCAAACAAATAGTAAAGAAAACAATTTTGAGACCTGAAATCTCAGATGATAAAGAGGCACGAACTAAACAAGATTATGATGTTTTTGGCAAAAATGGCTTTAGGCCTGGGTTAAAAAAAGTATTTTGTAATGAATTGGTTTAACAGCAGGCTTACCTTACTGACTAAAATGATAGAAATTTACAAATAAAATGTAGAACGAAAAAGTTGTGGAGCTACTAGCTTTTTTTTCTGTAAGAGAGTCTTTGTTCTTGTAGTTCAATGAAAATTCAGTGTTTACGTGTTATTAGTACATTTTTTATCATTTTTTGTCAGTCAGTAAGTCTGCTGCTAAACCTATTTATCACTTTACAAGATAAGTATACAAACCCAGCAAAAGCTGGAAAACCACATAAGCAAACCACACAAGGAAATTTATAGCAGTAAAAAAAAAACTAAAAATTCAGAAAGTAACAACATATTTAGTACTCAAACAAAACTGAGCTACCATATTGTGCTTGCCCCCATACACTTTGTTTGCTTTTTTGTATTTGAATTTCTTTTGCAAAATCATCACTCAAAAAAGTACAAAATCAGTACAAATGTCTTACGTAATACTTTGGTTTATCACCTGTGTAATTCCTAACAATTCCTAAAACAAATCAAGAAGTAAATATCACAAAGAAAAGCACAACTCAGTCACAAACACCAAATAGTTCCATCCTCACCAGCAGTGTCCTCCACTAGACACGTCGCTATCAGCTGTACAAAGCGAGGACACAGGTTCTTCTGTACGTTGCACAGGTTGACGATGCAGCGCAGCACGGACCTCATGGCCGCCGCCTCAGTGCCTGTACACGCCAGCAGCAGGAACAGCGACTCTACTGCGTCCAGTCTCTCATCCAGCCCAGCACTGGCCAACTCCTCCGTGAAACTGAGCAAAGCATCATGTTTGTAAAAAGTGTATAGAATGTTTATGAGTGTGGTATATAAGAATCCGATCATAAGACAAGAAACCTTTGAGAGAAAAACGTGGTTCTTAAAATCCCTTTTTATTATTACACACTCATTTTTGCCAATTGTTTGTCTTTTATTTGTTTTTTTGACAGAGATCGATCAATAATGACTTCCAAAATATTCCACCGATAAACTTGACTAACACAGGGCTTATGTTATAGGTAAGGTCATGCACAATAACAATAATGCATTATAAGCTGTTATTTACATGCCTAACCCCAGAGTCTAACCCCTCCCTTTATCAAGGATATGATTTTTAATAATACCAGTACCAGGTAGGCCTATAATCATTTGTAATGTTTACAAGAAATAATTCGAATAATTTATCAAAGTTGTCTAGTTGAAACAATTGAGTTATTAACAAATGTTATTTTCCTAAAGACTTACCAATAACAAAGCACTTGTGTCAGGATTTTTATAGACTTGGTGGCGATGACAACATTGCTGGAGTAACTTGTATCTTGACAAAGCTCCATTAGTTCTGAATCTGGAAAAAATAAATTTACATCTTAAGATTATGATTAGGCTAAATTACAAATTCAGAAAATATTTCTGTTTTTAGCTAGATATTTTTTGGACAGGAATCTTGGGATAACAGAGGTTGTCTGTGATCAGAGGTGACAGAAGTTGTCATTACTATTGGAAATTCACAATGTTACAATGTTACTCGCTAATTTGGTGGATGATCACAATTTTGATGTAATGGCTGGGGATTCTGGAATCCTCATTGAATCCACGATCGGCAAGTATCAAGAATCAACCATTCCTCATTTACCACTGGTATTGAACATTTTTAGAAATTGCAAATACTGGTTTTACAATGGTTGAAAAATTCATGGCTATTTCACCATGTTTTTGGCTTTCTCGGTTGAGTACCCATCTAAAGAAATTAGTGGCAAATCTGGAGCTGAGAAATAACAGAAAGACAAGTTTTAGACAATTTTAAATATCACCTGAGTTTTTTTTGGGTGCAAGGTAATTAAGTAATTGCACAACTAAAATCCTAGTCAGATAAGAACTTACCAGACCTAGCGTGTGCATTGCACACTGCAGCCGAGCGAGTGAGCACTATGAGGACATCGAGCGCACAACTGACGAGTGCAGGGTGTGGTCCTCGAGCGACATTGACCAGACTAGCCACACTAGTGTCAGGCCATAGGTGAGCTCCTTGCTGAGCTACTTGGTGTAGACATTGCAACACACACAGCTGCACCTCACGACGAGGGTCGTTCACCAGGTAATCCAGCAACAGCTCCACCTACAATAGCCATGTTGAAATAATCAGATTGGTGACATTGACCAGACTGGCCACACTAGTGTCAGGCCACAGATGAGCTCCTTGCTGAGCTACTTGGTGTAGACATTGCAACACACACAGCTGCACCTCACGACGAGGGTCGTTCACCAGGTAATCCAGTAACAGCTCCACCTACAATAGCCATGTTGAAATAATCAGATTGGTGACATTGGTCAGACTGGCCACACTAGTGTCAGGCCACAGATGAGCTCCTTGCTGAGCTACTTGGTGTAGACATTGCAACACACACAGCTGCACCTCACGACGAGGGTCGTTCACCAGGTAATCCAGCAACAGCTCCACCTACAATAGCCATGTTGAAATAATCAGATTGGTGACATTGACCAGACTGGCCACACTAGTGTCAGGCCACAGATGAGCTCCTTGCTGAGCTACTTGGTGTAGACATTGCAACACACACAGCTGCACCTCACGACGAGGGTCGTTCACCAGGTAATCCAGCAACAGCTCCACCTACAATAGCCATGTTGAAATAATCAGATTGGTGACATTGACCAGACTGGCCACACTAGTGTCTGGCCACAGATGAGCTCCTTGCTGAGCTACTTGGTGTAGACATTGCAACACACACAGCTGCACCTCACGACGAGGGTCGTTCACCAGGTAATCCAGCAACAGCTCCACCTACAATAGCCATGTTGAAATAATCAGATTGGTGACATTGACCAGACTGGCCACACTAGTGTCAGGCCACAGATGAGCTCCTTGCTGAGCTACTTGGTGTAGACATTGCAACACACACAGCTGCACCTCACGACGAGGGTCGTTCACCAGGTAATCCAGCAACAGCTCCACCTACAATAGCCATGTTGAAATAATCAGATTGGTGACATTGACCAGACTGGCCACACTAGTGTCTGGCCACAGATGAGCTCCTTGCTGAGCTACTTGGTGTAGACATTGCAACACACACAGCTGCACCTCACGACGAGGGTCGTTCACCAGGTAATCCAGCAACAGCTCCACCTACAATAGCCATGTTGAAATAATCAGATTGGTGACATTGACCAGACTGGCCACACTAGTGTCAGGCCACAGATGAGCTCCTTGCTGAGCTACTTGGTGTAGACATTGCAACACACACAGCTGCACCTCACGACGAGGGTCGTTCACCAGTGTAACGGTCGTATTCCTCTTGGAATACGTACTGTCACTTTGGGTCACGTAGCTCAGGAATGAAACTCAGCACTCGCTTACAAAACCCAACTTTATTAATTACTCAAAACAACACAAAGAACACAAAGCTAAACTAACAATCAAAAAAGGTAGAGTAGACTGGAACTGTATAAATGAGTTAGGAACTTAAACCCCAATTTGGAAAAGACTCTACACCCCAATTTTGAAAACCCTAAACATTTTCTTACCTGGACCCAAGGCCAAGGGCCTTGGGCTCCAGCTCCCCCAGCAGGACCCCGTCCTCAGGTGCACCACACAAACCACTCCACACAAAACTGACCCCTTGATCAAGTGCACTGGCCTACTTAAAGCAACAGCCTTCAGTAGGTCAGCACAACAAGTTATTGTTTAACAACACTACCAGCCTACTCACACAACATTGCCAAACACTTCCTCTTTACAATATTCGACCCCTTCCATTACATCCCCCCATTTCCTCCAGACGATGTCCCCAGCGTCTCAACTACATAGATACATCCACTCAGAGAGAGAGAAAAAAAAAATTGATAACAAAAACTGATTAAAATCTTTTAAAATTGTACCTAAACAAAATTAAAATAAGGTTTAGGAGGGGAAGAACTGACCAACTGTTTGCTGACTACCTCAGCAGTTGCGTCGATAAAGCCTCCTCGAACAGTCGTTGGTCTTCAGATGTTTGACCACAGCCATGTCTTCTGCGATGTCTCCCACTTCGGTGTCTATAGTCTGTAGTCCATCCAGCGTTCCTTGACAGCATTGATGATGAATCGACTTTGGTTGACGATGATGTTGGACTGCTTTTGCCATTGATTGAGTGTACTGCAGCCTGAAGTTCTCCTCTTCTTAAAAGCCATTGCCCCCAGCTGCGTTTCCCCAGTTTTCATTGAGTTTGACAAAGTCTCTTCCTCCGATCACAATGTTGAAGATAACACGGCAAATCATGAAGTTCTTGTAGCCTTGTCTACAGTTGGTCAGTGGGGATGGGTAAATAGGAAGCCTACACAAATATATAACTCACAACAAAAACAACATATGATTTATAAAAAAACCCTAGACTTTTAAAGAAATTCTCAAACTCACATTAAGAACAAAACAAAACAACCAACATTGAAACAAAAATTATTGAAACTAAGGGAAGTGTTTGGAATGTGTTACCTTAACAAATCATTGGCCTCTACGATTAAACAACAAAACATTATAAATAATTTCAGATTGATTTACTTTAAATTCTTCAAATATAACCTTTTTCAAAGCATTTAAAACAATAAATGATGGAACAGTCTTTCATTTCTAGTATAATTTAATTTAATTCTGAATAAACAAAAATATTCAATTTGTCTCCCATTTAAGTCCCTGATAATTAAAAATCTAAACAACAAAATATATCTCAATAAAATATTCTTTTAATACATAATCCGTCTTTGTCTTTAAATTTTGTGAGACTATTAAATTCACTAAAGGACACTATTGCAACATTTAAAACATTATTTCCCAATACAGTTATTTTCGGGGAGTCATGCGATTTATCTCTTACCTAACAAAACAAAATCATCTCCCGAATCAAATTCAATTTCCCTTAGTATCTTTAAAAACACGACTAAAATTTATTACTATAAAAAATAATAGTTAAACAAACATTTCAAATCACTCCCTACTTTGCTTTGGTGTTAAAACAAGTGAAACATTTTACTTCAGTAGGCTACATTTTTAAATCACATACTTCAAAAACTTAAAAAGCAATACATAAATTCAGAAAATGAACTTGAAAAATTGCATGTGTAATTCTCTGATAAAAATTCAAAAACATGATTGCTGAAAAAAAATGATTTGGGCCCAAATCGTTACAAACTAACCCATAAGCAAAACCAATTTCCCTTTTAAAATTTATCCAACAATCTATCACCTGTAAAAACAAAAATTTGTTCCCAAAATAAAACATTCATGCATTGCTGATTTCCCAAAGCAAACTCTAGAGCATCAGTATTAAAAGGTAAACATTGTAACAAAACACGGTCAGCACTCAGCAAGGTCAGGTCACAGAGAGGCCATTTACACTACGCTCAGCATTCCTCAGCCTACAAACATGCTGACTACTGTCACCTCAACTTTGCTCGTGCAATACTCTGAAATATCAACATATAAACACCTACTCTAATCATTAACAGTATTAACCATTCTTAAAAATCCCCATCTGAAAAAATATAATACTATGAAAATAAAGTGTAAACTCAAATATATTCCTAAAACAGTACACCATAAAACATTATGAATAATTATCCCTCAAACTACTTCTACAAAATTTAATATATTGATCCATTATTCACTGCATCTACCGCGCATAAAGGGCTGAAACATACTAATTTTAACACACATGTTCGCCACATTATTTGCACAATATACACTCTAGGGTGGAAATAGCAGGTCTGCAACCACAGAATCGCATCATCAAGAAACCTGGGAACTACAAGATCCCAGATTTAACACAAGTTTAACGAGGCAAATACACACACTTGTGCACAGCAAACAACATCTGAAACACACATTACACATGTGCACCCAGCACAGGACCAATAAAAACCTTGTACAGCTAGCACATAGCATACAGCACAAAAATACCTCGTGCACTCAGCACATAACACGAATTCACCTTGTGCTCCCAGCACATAACAAATGAAAACCCTGTGCATCCAGCACAATTCATAATACCTCGTGCATCCAGCACGTAACGCAATAACTCTCGTGCTTCCAAACACGACACACAATAAACTCAACGAACACATATCGAACTCACGTGCAACCCGCACATGACGCATAGAACACTCGTGTAACCGAACACGAACACATGTCGAACTCACGTGCAACCCGCACATGACGCATAGAACACTCGTGTAACCCAACACGAACACATATCGAACTCACGTGCAACCCGCACATGACACATAGAACACTCGTGTAACCGAACACGAACACATATCAAACTCACGTGCAACCCGCACATGCCACATAGAACACTCGTGTAACCAAACACGAACACATATCAAACTCACGTGCAACCCACACATGACACATAAACTCGCACTAAACATCACTGGAAAACTTCACATTTACGACATTCCAGCCGTTCACTGCTGTCCCAAAACACACTGAACCCCCAAAAAAACTGATTAAAACTGCACCAAAGTGATGATTACAAATTTAAAAAAAAATATATTCAAAAACCAAATTTTTCTTCACTAAATGAACCCCAAAAATTAAAGCCAATTATTTAGCCCAAGAGGTACCAAGATCGAAGTTTTGTAAAAAATTACAAAACTCCTGGCGTTTCCATCACCTTGTAACGGTCGTGTTCCTCTTGGAATACCAACTGTTACTTTGGGTAACGTAGCTCAGGAATGAAACTCAGCACTCGCTTACAAAACCCAACTTTATTAATTACTCAAAACAACACAAAGAACACAAAGCTAAACTAACAATCAAAAAAGGTAGAGTAGACTGGAACTGTATAAATGAGTTAGGAACTTAAACCCCAATTTGGAAAAGACTCTACACCCCAATTTTGAAAACCCTAAACATTTTCTTACCTGGACCCAAGGCCAAGGGCCTTGGGCTCCAGCTCCCCCAGCAGGACCCCGTCCTCAGGTGCACCACACAAACCACTCCACACAAAACTGACCCCTTGATCAAGTGCACTGGCCTACTTAAAGCAACAGCCTTCAGTAGGTCAGCACAACAAGTTATTGTTTAACAACACTACCAGCCTACTCACACAACATTGCCAAACACTTCCTCTTTACAATATTCGACCCCTTCCATTACACCAGGTAATCCAGTAACAGCTCCACCTACAATAGCCATGTTGAAATAATCAGATTGGTGACATTGGTCAGACTGGCCACACTAGTGTCAGGCCACAGATGAGCTCCTTGCTGAGCTACTTGGTGTAGACATTGCAACACACACAGCTGCACCTCACGACGAGGGTCGTTCACCAGGTAATCCAGCAACAGCTCCACCTACAATAGCCATGTTGAAATAATCAGGTTTGTGACATTGACCAGACTGGCCACACTAGTGTCAGGCCACAGATGAGCTCCTTGCTGAGCTACTTGGTGTAGACATTGCAACACACACAGCTGCACCTCACGACGAGGGTCGTTCACCAGGTAATCCAGTAACAGCTCCACCTACAATAGCCATGTTGAAATAATCAGGTTTGTGACTTTGGCCAGACTGGCCACACTAGTGTCAGGCCACAGATGAGCTCCTTGCTGAGCTACTTGGTGTAGACATTGCAACACACACAGCTGCACCTCACGAAGAGGGTCGTTCACCAGGTAATCCAGCAACAGCTCCACCTACAATAGCCATGTTGAAATAATCAGATTGGTGACATTGGCCAGACTGGACACACTAGTGTCAGGCCACAGGTGAGCTCCTTGCTGAGCTACTTGGTGTAGACATTGCAACACACACAGCTGCACCTCACGACGAGGGTCGTTCACCAGGTAATCCAGCAATAGCTCCACCTACAATAAATAGCCATGTAATAATAATTAGATTGGTGACATTGGTCAGACTCTTGTGTCCAATGTTATGGTTCTTGATGGTCAAATCTAGGAATATCATAATTTGACCTGAATTCTATAAATCTGAATTGAAGTAGAAATTTTTAATTATGAAAATCAAGTCTCACTAATCTTTTTAAATAATTCAAATAAATTCATTTTCAAAGAATACTAATGGTTATATGATTTCAAATTTCCAAATTCAGTCTCAGACAAATTTCATAAACGATTTAAACATTTGACAAAAATATCATTCTTATCTTGCGTAGCCTTTTATGTGTATCTAAGAAACTTTGGAATCTGGATTTGTAAGGAAAGCAGCTGACCTCTACCCCTTTCCAAAAAAATCCTCCTTCAGTATATAATTCTCGAATTTCTAGCAAACAGTAAGGAACTAAGCCACGCTGGTATCTACCTGATTGGGAATCTCCACCAGAGTAGCGGAGGCCAGCTTGGTGAGTGTACCCAGAGTGACGACCACAAAGTCTTGCGCAGGATACTTGGGCAGCAAGTCCGTGCACAGCTGTCGTACCTGTCAGACAAATCAGGCACTGATTAACCTACAAGAGTTAAAACAACCTAACCTACTCAACTCACGTGTATTTCTACTCAAGCAGTAGTGCTACTAATGCACCGTACTAGGTAGCATGCAAAATTAAAACCCCTTACCTAAATTTTAAATAGGCCTATATCAAACTACGCAGAAAAAAATTTAGATTCAAGAATCAGTGATGGATATGTAATTCTTTCATGAAGCAGGTTCAAAACCACATCAATCTCTTCTGTGTTCACTTCCCTGTTGTAAAGCACATGTATAGCTAATGGAAATATAAATTAGTTAGTAATTATACATCTCAGGTAGTATTGACATTACCATGGCAGCCGTAGACGTGTCGTGATGCATATGTTGTAATATAGGGATGAGCTGAAGCTTCATATGAGCAGGCGTGGCCAGACCTTGGATCATGTGAGAGATCTTGTTACACATACTGACAGCAAACGATCTGAAATATTACAATACACTGTAAATAATACGCTTAACACTTCACTGTGGTTGTGTGATGTAGAGAGGTGGCTAAGATGGGGAACCAATGAGTTGAGCACGGATAAGTGCAGGAAAATGTTAAAATCCTGTTGTAACCAATAGCAGAGTTTCAAATTGGCTAAATTTATTTATTAATGTAGTTGTTCAAAGAGCTGAAAAGGTAGCAGCACTGTACATTCACCAAAAAGTCAGGACTACCAAATTTAGGTAACAATCTGGGACAAAAGGGTTGGATATGCTTACCATAATTGGAACAACAATTTTACGAACTTCACATTACGGTTAGGAGTGATACAGGGTGCTTAAAGTACAATGACCTTCCTGTACAAAAGCTTAACGTAATCTATATAAGGTTATATAGAATATATCATCAGTGATTCTGAAAACAACATAAAACATGAACTAACTATACTGAGCAATCAAAGTTGGCAGAGTGTTTTCCTGGGTAGCACGCTCGGCAGTGAGTCCAGTTGCCTCACAGAACTGTGGGTATAACGAATTCTAGATAAATAAGGATAAATTATTACACATTATCCTTACGCAACACATCAAGCTTCAGATTTTATAACAGGATGAGAAGTCTACTTGTGTTGGTTAGTCTGACTACCTATTACAACGTTACTTGTCTCTAACTACACATTAGCTTAGAAAATAGACTGGACTAACTTGGACTGAGCTGCGAACTGCATGGCAGCGTAAATGGCAGCCTCCACCTCGACAGCATCGTGAGAGTCTAGACTGCGTCGGATGCTGTGATGGACCTGTTGTCTCTCAGGGATGATGTTGGCAACACTGCCTAGTGTGCGAAGAGTGAGAGCTCGGGCAACCTGCCGGCATGTACAACAACATGAGCTAGCTGCATTGGAATCAAATTGCAGGATCAGGTTAATTTGAACCCTGACACATCAAGGTGCGAGTTTTAATGCAAATTGCCTTGACTGGAGGAAGAGTGTTGAATGTATGGAAATATAGCTATTCGTTGCAAAAAACAGGCGTTTTTATACAAAGTCTTTGATTTACATATTTTTTGCTATAGAAATATACTTGCCAACCCACAAGTCAGTTGCCAGCTGACTATATGGTACTTTGGAAAACTCCAGACAATTAATTGTCAATTGCCCGACTGACAATAAATCCATTAAAGTGACGTTGTGGGTTCAGATGGAAATCTTAATACGCGCCATTGAATTTTATCAGTAGGCTAACCTCTTGTAGGTACTCTACCGGCTCGCTCATACCTTGCTTTGCTAAAACATTACTCTCACTGGCTTGAGGCCAATGTGGACAGGAAAAGCTAAGTAAAAAGAGGTCGCCAACCTCTTAAAAAATGTGCTATTCCAGCGTTCTACAGTATTAGGTATCAGCTACTCACAGGATCATTGGAGTGAATGACACTGAACACTCTTCTCACAAACTCGTCGATATTGAGGATTTTATCTAAATGTTTCTCACTCTGCTGGCAAACTCGAAGCACCCAAAGTCTGAGGAAATTGTTCCTGAAAGTGGGACAAATTTGTGATATGATTTCCAATCTGAAATAACTTATGTAACAGACGTTAATTTTAAGAAAGGACCGTGAGGCGAAGTTCTCCTTATAATGAAGGATTTTCATTTAATTTCATTTCTATAATTAATCTGGATGAACTTAATCACAAGAATTTTCTGAACATCACAAGATTTGCAATTTTTTTATTGAATTGAATTGAAAAATTCTTTATTGCTCAATATAGGCCTACATAGTTATAGTTGTTGTAACAGTAAAAATCACAATAATAGTTGAAACACAATTCTGAATATAGTACCTATTTCTACAACTATGCCTATATACTTAAACGCAATTTTTTTAAACTTTAAACTGTTTGCGAAACATGAAAATAGCATAATGAAACAGAGCAATAAAGCCCTAAAGTTATAAACCTGTGCGGGATCTATATTTAAAACTTACACAAACTCAGTATAGTAGAGAGAGTGTCTGGCCGGAATCAGTGCCACAGTCTACATAAATATATTTAACACCCAAATCTATCTATATATATAATACGCTAAGCCGATTTTTGTAAACAGAACTCCTCCCTCATTTTTGGACCGATTTTGATGATTAAAGTGTCAAACAAATGGCCCTAATCTGTAGTTTTGCAAAGTGTTTTTAGATTTTAGATATCTTTATTAGTTTGGGCAGGATCTTCCATCAAAGTTGGGTTTTCTCCCATAAGATTAACATGGGGGAATCTAAATATTTAATTGGAAACTTTGTATCCACTAATTTGAGAGAACGGGTGGGCGTAGAAACTTGGTAGAGGGGTCCAAAGAAAGGTCTTGGTCTGTAGATGAGTTATCGAAAGAAAAACGAAGTAATTTCGCTTAGGGCTCTGCCCCAGAAGCCTTTAAAGACCCATCCACAGATTTGTTTACATTTTGGCCAAGTAGATAATACTTTTTAATGAAACAGCTGTTAATATTTTAAATTGTGTTTTAAACAACACATATTTATTGGGAGTTACTGAGTTGTCCAGAAGAAGTATTTGCAATGTTATTTTCTGATTTTAAAATAGATTTTCTTCTGTATCATATCATATTTTGCAATATAACGTTTCATCAGTGGAAATTCCTTTTATCACAGAACTCTTAGAATAATTTCTTATTGAACTATTTAATATCTGTTACGGGTTTTTGTCTGCCTTTTTCACTACTTTTGCCTTTATTTTATCATATTATTCTACAGATCATCTTAGATTCATGAGATTATTGTCATGCATGTCTTCAATCATTGTAAAAATAGTCGAATGTGTAATACAATACAAAATAATACAAGTGCAGAAGGGAACGTTGTCCATTTGAGCTGTGTCCATATTTTGTTAGATTAATAGCAATTTACAGCAACTGGATAAAACATTTTATAATAATTTATGAAGAAATATTTGCACGATTTAGAAAGTCATTAAGCTGTAAATCTGCAATTTGCTACAGACTTTTCAGGTAATATAAAGTATTCATTCATAATAGTGAACACATAATATAGATATGTATACAAATAATAATTTGAACTCTTAGAGAGCCTTTAAATATTACTAGAATAACGAAATGGGTTGTACATGTTTACTAGCGCTACTCAGAAATAACAACCATTTAATTTATCTCTAAAATATATATTCTTAAAGTGCACTGAGCAGCAGCCTATAAAAAATACTATGTAACTTACCCATATAGTTACAAAATGCTTGAACTCGCATTGTAATATTTATAATTCGGCTTATATTTCTCCAGCAGATTATTTATCTTCAGAAGAAGTTTATTGTGCTCTAATCATGTCTAATAACATCCAAAGACCGAAACCTTGCCTAAAATGGTATCTATCTTGAGAAACTATTTGCAGCATCCTACATTACGGACCGCGACCCACTGGGTTGTTAATATGATTGAAAATAATAAGACATTTCGACTATAAAAAAGGCATAAAGAGTAAATACTATTTAAGCAGCTACTTAAAGTATATTCCACTAAACCTAACTATCGGTAGATGAATTAGCGTAAGCCTTGAGAGTAACCGTCGATTTCGACGGGTTTCACCTAGTATATTTTATACCCAGCAGGTTCAAAACTTTTAGGCTAGGCTACATGTAAGTTACCGGTACAAGATGATAGTGAATATTCTTTAAGTTCTAGTAATAATCAAGACAGTAATACCACTACTTAAGGCTCCTTTTATACTCTCTAAGTGCATTGCGTTATATGGGAGCTTTTATACTCTGCGGCTGGCTAGATGCACGATGGCGCATCTAGGAGCCGCAGTAAACGTGCGGCCTCTAGGTGCACTGCGTTATATGGGAGCTTTTATAATCTGCGGCTGGCTAGATGCACGATGGCGCATCTAGGAGCCGCAGTAAACGTGCGGCCTCTACGTGCATTGTGTTATATGGGAGCTTTTATACTCTGCGGCTGGCTAGATGCACGATGGCGCATCTAGGAGCCGCAGTAAACGTGCGGCCTCTACGTGCATTGTGTTATATGGGAGCTTTTATACTCTGCGGCTGGCTAGATGCACGATGGCGCATCTAGGAGCCGCAGTAAACGTGCGGCCTCTACGTGCATTGTGTTATATGGGAGCTTTTATACTCTGCGGCTGGCTAGATGCACGATGGCGCATCTAGGAGCCGTAGTAAACGTGCGGCCTCTACGTGCATTGTGTTATATGGGAGCTTTTATAATCTGCGGCTGGCTAGATGCACGATGGCACATCTAGGAGCCGCAGTAAACGTGCGGCCTCTAGGTGCACTGCCTTATATGGGAGCTTTTATACTCTGCGGCTGGATAGATGAACGATGGTCAACCTACTACGACTGAAGTCAACATTGAACAGTTCATCGACAAAATAAAATCCAGACCAAGTTTGTGGGATCGTTCATCAGAGGACTACAAGCTCAGGGATGTCAAAGGGCTCATCAACACTAGTGGTTTGGTGAATAAAAATTCTTAAGTTGGTAGCCCTGATGAACCCACCGATGCCATGGCCGTGGCCGTTGTGCGGCGCCGCAGAGTATAAAAGGAGCCTAACACAGTTAATGGAGTATAATTCAATCAGTAGTTCTAGGCCTACACTAAGCTTTTTTTTTTTACCTACCCCACTCTGAAAACATCGGCAAGTTTCAAAAAAGAAGAATTAATAAGGATTGGAAATGGGTATTTCTCGAATAATCTTGGAAATCTAACAATCGCTTCACATTGTTCTCCAACTCGACCTGATCTCAAACCTGGAAAATAAAATTGCCATTAAAGTCAATTACTTAGTGTATAGTCAGCTTAAGTTTCAAATAGACTTCAGTACATATTAATTATATTTAGCCCAAAAGTTTGTATTCAACAAAGCTCCAACCATAAATAAGTAGCCTACAAACCTTACAGTCGTGGATCTATTAAATTTCCATTGAGCTTATTGATAAAAAAACTGTCTAATTAATAGCAGGTTGAATGGCATTAGTTTAATGTACAGTAGCCTAGGCTGACAAGGTTTAGGGTATTTCCAATGTAATAATCATTACTTAATACTCTAATACATTAAAATGCCAATGAAATAGTATTACAGTAGTCAGGGGTGCCCACAAGGGGGGGCCGTGACGCAGACTGCGTCATTGAAATTCTTGGGGGGGGCTCAAAAAATTCAAATGGGGGGGGGCTAAAGTTAATTGCAACAGTGTTCAACGTGACGACAATCCAATACATTACGAAGTCGCCAGATAGAAAGTGAACTAATTAATGACAATAGTTATATTATTGAATTAAATTAGTTAAAATAGGATTTTAGGGTAGTTTAGGATTCGTGTAGAAAGTTATTATTTAAGATTAGCAAGACGTGAGATCTAAGAGGGAGCGCACGGGATGGCTCAACTGCTGTGATAGATAAAAGATAACGCGTGGTACAGACACGTCCAGCTACACCGCGACTTAGCACAGCAGAACGCTTTGTTGACATAAAGCTCGTTAAAATACAATCAAGTAGCAAGTAGCATAGGCTACAATACTTTACACTATTGTGTAAATACTCGATTACCTGAGTTAATAGGGAGAGGGGGGGAATGAAAAATACGGTTAATCCAATATAGTATAAAAACAGATGACAAACTCATTAAAACGCTGTAAACAGCCAGATTTTTGTATTTTTATAAACAAAATTCAATATTGCACAATCATTATTATTGTAAATTTCAAATCATTTATCTTGGTTCAGTTGTACAAACGGCAACGTTTAAAATTGTAGCTAACTCAAACTCAACTAATCACTAGCCAAACATTGCATTGCTATAAATAACGTAAATATTAAAGGAACCTTTAGAAAGTGTTATAAGGTACTGCTCATGATAGACAGAGGCTACCGATAGGTGCTGTATCACAGCATAGGAATTGATGGATAAGTAATAAAAAAATGTAAAATTATATTTAGAGATAATTAAATCACTCTTTAAAAAAGAATGTAACGAGAACAATCTTGTTATTCTCTTTCTTTGTTCTTCTGTTCTTTAATAGGTTTCTCTTCAATTCATACACAAATTCAACAAGTCGCCATATTTAGGCCTACTCATTGGCCAATCACAGCCTTACTAAAGTTACCATGGTTATCACTCAATCACAGTGTCCTAAACATTATATCGTCATCATTCCCCAGCTGTTGTATCTGAAATCTGTTGTAACATAGCGCACAGCAGACAGAAGTGTATAGCGGAGCAGACGATTGTTGGCGCAAGCGTTGTTTCCATTTCATTTTCATCAAAGGAGCTGTGATGTTTCTAAAGGGAGGGAGATGGGATCGTTATATCGAGAAAGACGCTGACAATTCGTTAAGCAGAGGTTACGAACGCTATATAGATATTCTGGCAATAAAAAATTCCTTTAATTGAGGTGACTTATAATACTCTAATTTTATTTATATAGGAAGATAAGTTTTCCAGTCCTGTACAACACTGATTCACGGTCTTTTCCCTGTAATCAAAATTCAAGTACAACTTGATACACACAGAATCTCCGGTTCCCGACCTGGATGATGGCTAGTTATTTAATTTAATTTACAGTTACATATTAGTACTCGTGATAAATCAAACCCGTTGTAAGCAACACGGTTATTAATCTCACTTGGTTTTGGATTTGCTTACAAACGAGATCGGAAATGGTTAGGGCCTACACAGTATTCTTAAAGAACATTTATGTAAAAATATCAGTGACAGCTAGGAAAAGGAATCTTTATCAAAACAGCTGTTCGTAATTTCATATATGACGTGTTCTCTTAACAGATTATTAGTATTTCATAAATTAATGACGTATGTAGTAAACATGGAGAAAATAAACTAGAAAAATCACACAAAATTGTGTTTTTGATCGTCCGTTATTTTATTTCCAAAATAGTGAGGCCATATTTTTAATGGCTATAAGGACTCTCTCGCCAATCCTGTGGATACAATTAAACCATTAGAATCATAATCGGTACTCTAGTTTTCTTTAGAGTAGGCCATGAGTAGGCTGCATAAAATGCCTTCTGGGCCGTGACAGACGGACATAAATTGAGATAAGACATGTTTCAACTTCTTCAATGTACATAAATAACCCCAAAATATGTATAATTCTGAGCAATGTACAGACAAAACTATAACTTTATTGATATATAGATTAACTGGGTTTGAATTTTAAATAGGCTACCGTATCTAAAAAAAATTATAAAACTTCTTTTATAGTTTTACAAATAGTGCTGGGCGGGGGAATAATGTTTCTCATTTGTTGTGTAGCCTACATCATTTATGGGGGGGGGGGGCTGTTGCTCAATTGGGGGGGGGGGGTGCGTCATGCGTCTAGGGGGGGATGGGCACCCCTGCAGTAGTAGATACACTTAGAAACATATTAAAGGCCCAGGTTTTTACTGTCATATTACACATGTGGCACTGTTAAATAAGGCAGAATTGGAAGGTAGAACTACACAAACACTTTGAATGAATGAATGAATGAATTATGAATTTATTCCACCACATATATAAAATTACACAACCAAATGTACAAAAGAAAAAAGGGTTTTATGCAAAACTAAACTAATTAACTATAACTAATTACTATATACATGTGTCAAAGGTTATTCCTATCTAATTAGTCCTGGAATTAGCAGACATAGGCTGTCCTGTGCGTCTGCTGTTTTGGGAACATCCCCGGAAATCGACCCCATCCACCTTGCACTGAAATTCGAGAAGCTAACTAACTTACTTAGCTAGCAACACAACACTATAAGTTAAAGAAAATCTTGTGGGTATATACCCACAATCAGTGTTGTTTAACTGATTAAAATTTAAAAGTCTTTCATGATAGCCTATTCTAGGTTAGGTTTACTTGGTAGTTTTACAAATTAGAAAAGTGTTAACGAACTAATTCTTAAATGGAGGTTAATGATTCGATACATGAATAAATAATTTGTCAACATATTCTAAAATCTACCTTTATCTAATTCTGTTAAGGCTGAATTTGCATCTTGTTCTGGTTCTCCCAAAACGGCATCACTAAAAGTCGACACTCGCACAGGTAACATGTTTGTTTGTAATTGATGTTACTCGATTTTGTAAACAATTTATAGCTTTTTTAGCTTACCAATTTTGTTTAATTTAACAAGTCGTCTTCTTAGTTAAACGTTTTTTGTCAAAGAAGTCAGTATAAGAAGATTTGCTATCTAATCTAATCGAAGTCGAACTGGACTAGTATTACGACGGATTGGTTTATTTTGACTTTGAGGTTAATTAGTAGTATTGTTTTTCTTTTTTTCTTCAAAATGCCACAATTATGGTGGCCTTGTTTAAATGTCATGAGGCCCCAGTGTTCCGTGGGCCTTTTTGTCTTAAATGTCATGAGGCCCCAGTGTTCGGTGGGCCCTTTTGTTTAAAGTTTAGTTTTAAACATCTAGTTTTTTCTCAATCTCAACTAATCCAATCCACCAACGCTATCAAAATTATGTTTTTTCTTTTCTACCCTGTACTACATAAAATGGTCAGGGATTTAGGTAATGGAACTTCGAAATATCTTGAGCTTTTTATGGTTCTTCATAAAACCTTTTCTTAGCTAATGGTTGGTCACTATTTAAAATTGATTAAATCTACATAAAGTTTGTGTTAATCATAAAAATTAATGTAGCCAATATAACTTTCATAACCAGTGATTATATAAAGTGAACAAGTGAAATGAAACTTTACAGAAAGATCCACAGCAAATATTTACAATATTACAAAATAACTATTCCAAATGTTTTTGTACAAAAGATCGTTTGGATAAACAGTGGCGGATCTAGAACAATCACAGGGGGGGGGTCTGGGGGGTTCGGCCCCCCCGAAAAATTGGTGTAAACTAAGTCTCCAAAATGGCAGTTTTATACCATTTCTTTTTGAAAATTTAGTGTGACAAATTATTTTACGCAATGTGTATGTACTACTGTATTACATGCAGTAAAACAAAAAATATATTATGTATGCTCTGGATCCGCCACTGTGGATAAAGCACTGTTGTAATAATCATTGAGCTGCCTCTGGCATATGGTTTAGTTAGGACGAATCTTGTGTGTTTCAAACAACCAAGTGCATAAAACCAATAAATTAAATATCCAAATTGTGTTGAATCGTTTTCAATGGGCTTGTAAGTTGTAATAATGAAGTCAGCCTGTAAATAGTTTTATGCCGTGAATAAACGAATCAAACGATAAAATATTGTTTTATCGTTCATCGTTTTAACCGAATGAAAATATCAAATCTATATTTTATATTCGGTTATTTCATTCGATATATCGTTTGGATGATTAGGTTAACCTATTCAGACGATATATCGAATGAACTAATCGATATACCAAATAATCGATCTATCACTCGATATTGTTATTCCGATGTTATTCATTGACAACAGATATGAAAGTCTACCCCTAGCGTAACGCGACTGACCAAATTATTTACTAAACTCTTGAGATTTTACACTTTTCTGAAAACCCGATGCAAGTCCATAGTCCATTCTGTCTTGAAAAGCAAAATTAAGTATGGGTCTGAAAATATAAGAACTCACCTTCCCATTCCTTGTTTGTAGGGGAATTATTTGTCTTTACTTGTGCCCCCAAGGAACCTAAAACATCTTACGCCTTATGACCGGGAGGTGGGTGAGCGGTCCGGTCTTCATCCCTAACTGAATGAATTTAAAGGCTGATTGTGTGTCTTATAAAAAAAAAAAAAAAAATACTATAGAGTCCTGGATCTCTTTCGTTAATCATGGATCTCAATAAAATCAACATTATCATTTAGGTATATCAGATTCAATAGGTGGCTCAAGAACATCATTATACAGGCAACATAGTCATTATTGACTGCAAGCTAAAACACATATACATACCTTCATCCTTTTGTAAAATCTACGGCCTGTTTTGGTGCAGCAGACATTTAATATATATGAATTAATTAATTAATTATATCTTTTTTTTAACAAAGTATTTACAAAATTGTACACACTTATTTAATGAAGAAAAACGCGAACCAGCATGATCGGACCATGGAAACTGGGTTTTTTGTGGGATTTATGGGCTAAAAATGGGGTTTCCCCATTTTGACCCAAAAAAAAAAAGAATTTTGCAATTTCTTTCTAAACCATTTTGTATAGCTTAAAAAAGAAGTAATTTAGTATATTGAAGTGCTGTTGTATGCCTAAAGGTTACGGAAAAAAAAGAATGTAATTTAAAATTACCATGTTATTCTTATGAAGAAAATAAAAACTGTTGTAGTTTACTTGTTTATGGATATATGTTATGTTATTGGTCAAATTTATTTCATCTATTGCCGTATGGTCAGCAACCGCTTTTTACCTTCCCCGTAGCAGCAAACCTAAGCACTAGTTAAATGTAATGTTATTTAAATTGGGAATATGTGTTATTTGTGGGAATATTTTAGTAAAAATGTAATCAGAGTTGAAATTTGCTTAGTCTGCAGGTGTACGGGGGGTATTTTTAATTGTTAGTTAATTGATTTGTTCTGTACTGTACTTGTTTGATTCTATCTGCTATTTAGATCCATTGATATTTGTTTTATCTGTTCCAGATGAAAGTCATGGTTAGGATTGGAGGAACAAACCCCAAGACCTTAAATTGAATACAATGAAAAGGCTGCTAAACGATGAAACAATGATACATTTATCATACACTGGGAAAAAGGATTCAAAGAACTAAAAGACAGTTTTGGAAGGAGCCAAATTTGCCAGAGCATTCATGGTCAGTTAGCAAAAATTATTCAAACAGAACACTTTACTCCACTCTCTAATATTTCAAATGGTTTTTAGGAAATGTTTTTGTCTGAAAAAGCAAATTTTCTGTAAACTTCATAAATTAAAAATAATGCTGCAAACATTTTTTGTTATCTGAGTATATGAATGAATGATGACTTACATCTTTATTCCAACAAAACTGAACACACATATTCAATGGAGAAAAAACATAAAAATGTTAAATCAAAAGAATTAATTTATGTTTTTTTTCATACGTAAAATGATATGAAACAATCATGTGTGTTTCATGTTGGAATGCTCAAGTGTGCTAATGCCAACTAATATTTCTCTCTTATTTTGGTGAAGATTTGTGTTTGGTAATAAACAAACAAACAAAAATGGTACACAAGAAACACCCTCTACACAAACCATAGTGAAAATGTTTTATCTACTCTTCTACTGTATGGCAAAACATACCTTACAAGTCTTCAGCTCACATAGGATGATGGAGTATGAAAACTGCCTATCCCACAATCTGGGAGTATTTATAGTATTTGACATTACATTGGACATAACCTTCAGTTGGCAAATGAACACTCTGGTTCACACTATTAAAAATATATGTTTGAAAACCCTAATTTTTTTATATGTTACATCAAATAGTCTTGCTTCTTGCATTTTAAGATTGTATTTTTCCTTTCAGATTCATCTATCTTTTTTGTGTTTTCATTTGTCTATTTTTAAACACTGTCTCTGATGTAGACAAGCTAACATCTACAAGCTAAAACAATGAACTTGACATCCTTGTATTTGGCAAAATTCTGAACGGCTGAATAAAAGTTGATACTGTATTTGTCAATAAATAACAACTCTACAGGGAAAAGGAGTATAAAAAAATAGAATGAAGAACTTGTTACATGTAATATATTTTATTATTTTCTATTACATACATATAGTAACAACATAACTATATTGAAGTCAATTATACCTTCTGATCATTTCACTCGTTATAACTGTGTTATTGTTATACATTGCTAAATATTTGGTATTAAAGAAGAACCGTATGAGGCTTCTGTCTACTGAAACACTCATCTCTAATTCCGTAACAATAATATTTCATTTAAAATTAATCAATAATATTTACATTAACAATTGACACAAACATACTTATAGGAAATATCTTGAAACATTACTGTGGTGTAAGTAAAATTTTTGAAAGGGGATTAAAAAATAAATCACAGTATGTTCGATAACTTAAACTTCAATAAAAACAGAATAAACGTCGGTAAAATTATATATTTACAAAGTGCTAACAAGTTTCTAGACTGAAAACAACAAACTAGAAGCAATTGGAAGAATAACGGCTACATAAGTCTACTCAAGTTATATACAAGACCAATATTCACAATTTAATATTCACAACTCGTAAGAATTTACGCTGCACAAACCACACTGACCTTCCACAAAAGTCGGTAAATGTTAATGATTTCTAACTCTCTTCAATTATCAATTAAATAAGTCTTAAGTATATTCAATTCAATATAATAATTTTTGGGGGTATAATACGGTAACAATTAATTTTAAAAAACTGCAAAATAATTGTTCCTTCATTATTAAATTTTGTAATTTTTGTAATTATTTCCAAATTTTAAACTAAATACAAGAAAATGATGATAAATAAAAATTATTAACTATTGTTCCTAGAGCAAAGATTGAACATTTTAGTCATACCAAAAACATTTAGGGAGAGACTGGCAGCCTAATTTATTATTGCACTTGCGTAATTATAATCTGTGCGTGGAAAGTACCAAGCAAAGAAAAGAGAGCCAGAATAGTAAAGGCATGAATAGAACGAATTATTAATGACACTGGGATTCTAAACCACAACATTTAACAAGTCAAAGTCCATAACACTTATGATCAAAAGACTCTTTTACAAAAAATAAATAAAAAATGTAAATATTTCCTGATATGGTAAAAAAATTAAAAATGCAACTTAAAAGGTAAACTTTATAAAGCTGTAGTAAGTCTAGGTTGCTTGAAATTTGTTTTTAAAGGATACTTCCAGTCTAATAACAAAGTGAAACAAATAATTTAAAAAGCTTTTCATCAAACCAAGACCTTGATAACTGGGAATGTACACAAAGAAGCCAACAAACACTTATAATTGTTCATTTAGTGGATCTGAAACAAAACATAAAAAGGGTTAGGAAATAAAAAAAAAACATAAACAAAAATGAATAAAAGTAAAATTGCAAAATTATAACAAAAAAATGGAATGTGAAGAACGAGTTAAGTAATAAAACGTTCAATTGTCAATAGATTAAACATCCACAGAAACAATCAGTCAAATCTGTATTGTCTTCAGGCCTCGGCAAAGCAGTCACTTATATACAATCGAGGTTAACAACAATGTTTGTAATAAAACAAAATAC